GTGTGTGTGTGTGTGTGTGTGTGTGTGTGTGTGTGTGTGTGTGTGTGTGTGTGTGTGTGTGTGTGTGTGTGTGTGTGTGTGTGTGTGTGTGTGTGGGTGTTATTTGTCCCGGCATGATATTATATGTGCGTGTGTACATGGTATGACATGGTATGACATGCCAGGTTCTACTGAATTGGATTATGGAAGATCATGGCATGGGCATGGGCATGGGCATGGGGAAGTGATATGGAAGATCATGGCATGGGCACCGGGAAGTGATATGGAAGATTATGGCATGGGCATGGGGAAGGGGAAGTGGGACATGAATGGGAAGGGACATGAATGGACATGAATCGGAAGTGAAAATGGACGGGGAAGTGAAGATGGAAAGCGAAATGGAAAATGTAATGACATGGAAAAGGCAATGGTTTGGTTTAAATTGGGTGTGGTACTGGGTGTTGGGTGTAGGGTGTTGGGTGTGGGGTCTGGGTAATGGGTATTGGGGTATTGGGTAATGGTTAGATGGATTGATAGAGATATTAATGTGGGCGGATTGAATTGAATTGGATTGAATTGAGTTTATCGAGGTGAATTGGGTGAATTGGGTGAATTGAGCCTGTGAAATGAGCCTGTGAACGGAAACTAGAGTAAGACGAAGACTTGAGTAAGATTAGGACTGAAGTGAGACTAAGACTAAAGAACGACTAAGGTGGTATGAAATGGTATGAAATGGAATGAAATGGAATGAAATGGAATGAAATGGAATGAAATGGAATGAAATGGAATGAAATGGTATGAAATGGTATGAAATGGTATGAAATGGTATGAAATGGTATGAAATGCAATGTAACGGTATCTAATAAAAACAAAATAATACAGATACACAAAATATATTAAAGCGAACGGTATGAATATATTAAAGCGAACGGTATGAATATATTAAAGCGAACGGTATGAATATATTAAAGCGAACGGTATGAATATAGTATACGTACAAAGTATAAACATATGAGACTCCGACTCGAATGACGACGACTACTACTACTGCCCTAAACCGACAGTCTCTCCACGCCAATCCTCCTCCTACACAAAAACGCCAACTTCAAAACCGCCATCCCCCATCCCCATCCCCATCCCCACCATCTCCATCATCACCACCATAAAAACTCGTCAGACCACACAATTCCTCCCCACCCCCCCTCTCCGTATTCGCCCTCCGCCTGCGCACAAGGGTGCCCGCGCGGCCCAGATCAGGCAGACTAGGCCGTCGAAGGGTGTGTCGGCGTTGGAGTGTAGCAGTGTTTGCAGTTGTGGAGGGGTGGAAGTGCAGGGAGTAAGGGGAGAGGGTCGCAGAGTCGGGGCGGAGGGTATGTGGGGAGGTTGAGGGGGATTTGGGTGTTTTGGGAGTTTTGGGGGTTGTGGGGGTTGTTGGATGGTATCTTGGTGATGAGGGCAAGGAAAAGAGCAAGGGAGAGGGGATATGTGGGAGGAGAGGCGAGGAGGGAGGGTTGCGTGATTGTGGTGTTGTTATCGAGGGGATTGTCCGCGGAGTTAAAGGCGGAGGCGGGGACGGAAACGAAGGCGAAGACGGAGACGGGGTATGTATATGCTCGTGCTCATCATGCTCCTCATCGTGCTGCTCATCAGGCCGCTCATCGGGCGCAAAGGGCGAAAAGAGCGATAGAAAAGACGGCGAGGTGACGCTTGACGGGACGGCCGAGGCAAGGCGCGGGTCTGGCGTCGTGGGATTGGAGAGATGGGGAGCGGGGAGCGGGGGGCTGGGGAGTGGAGGCGGCAGGTCGAGGTCGAGGCGGAGGTCGAGCAGGGAGGGGGAGAGGAGGGAGGAGCTTCCTGTGCGGGAGCGGTGGCGGCGGGTTGGTTGTTGGTGCTGTTGGGTGGAGGGGGTTGTTGATGATGGGGCGCGGAAGGGGAGGGGTTTCGAGGTGCTGTTGTTGTGGTGGGAGGAGGAGGACGAGGGCTGCGGGGAGGTTGTTCGTGATGTTGCTGTAGAGCTCATCGGGGTGAGGGTGAGCTTAGACGGTTTCCGGGTGCGGGCCGGAGAGACAGTGTTGCGCGGCAGATTGGTGGTGGGCGAGCGAGTGTCGTGCTCAGTCTTGTGCGGCTTCTTCCTCTTTTTTGTTGCGGCTTTGGTAACATGACTGGGCTTGGACGGCGATACAGGTCTGGCCGAACTCGGCCGCGAGGAGCTGCGGCGGGGGGTCTCACTCGGGGGAACTGTGAGGAGCTCCCAACGGAACGGATTGCCGTTGCTGCTTCTCGTAGAAGGCGAGTCGGAGAAGCGCTGGGAGGCGTGGCCGGGAGCAGAGGTATTGGAGGATATCTCGCCGAGCACAACACGGTGAGGGGACGTGTTCTTCTTTCTGACGGGTGAGCTTGCCGGGGTCAGGCGTGGCTCTGTCCTGAAAACGATTTTGGACGGCTTCGAGACTGGCGACGTCGGACGGACGGCCGTGTTCTCTTTTGTCGCGGACGGCTGTTCGTAGAATGTCATTGGAGTGCCGGCTCTTTCTAGCTTGGGGATGCTGGACTTTTGATGCTCGCCCAGTCTGTGTCCGGACGCTTCCTTGGCTCTGCCTGCCGTAGGAGCGTCAAAGACGTCAAAGACCTCGGAGATATTCAGGGGCTTTTGGGTGCGCGAGATGGTGGAGAGACTGCTGGGCCGGTTGATTGTCCTGTGCATGGCCTGATGCAGATCAGGTTGCGATGTTGCGCCACTTGCAGTTCCGGCACGCGGGCGGGACTTTTGAGGGTGCGTGTCTAGATTCCGAGGCGAGAGAGCACCGCTGATGGCGGAGTCATGCTTGGAAAGGAGGCTCCGTGGGGCTGAAAAGCGGCTCTCGAGGCTTGGAGACGGAGCTACCGGTGGTGTTGGTAGGCGGGAGCTGCTCCGGACGGGTATTGGGGGGCAGAAATCGGCACTGGTTCTGATGGGAAATCTGGTCTGGTGCGACGGGGCCGGGGCTGATATCTGGCACTCTGCAATGTGTCGTGGTTTGCTGACTTGGTCTTGCACGCGCTCGATATGCGGGGACTGGAGCGAGATGCCAAAGTCGGTGCTGGAGTCTAGATGTGGAGTGGATTTCTGGAGCGAAAGGCGGGACTTGTCATGCTCGTAGAACGACGAACTGGACCGCAACTCGGCGCCATTGACAATGTAGGGCGAGAGATAATTCTTGCGCAAGACCGTCCTCGTCGGCCCCATCCTCAACGGACCACCACCCTTGACCTCACCGACAAGAGGCGGGCGAACAGCGATTCCTCTGGCCTCCAGATCGGCAACGAGGCGCTTGTGATGGGTGATTGCGCGAATCAGCAAGACGAGCATGGCGGCCAGCAGGACGGATATAGTCAGGCAGACGGCGGTCAGGATGCCCGCGATTGCAGGGCGGCTCAGGTGACTGGCAGTCATGCTGTCGGCGGAGGCGGTGGTGATGGAAGCAGGAGTAGTAGTGGCCATTGTGGGCCGGATGTGTGAGAGTGGTGGCTATGCGGCAGATTGAAGAAGGAGTCAAGAGAGAAGAAGGAAGAGAAGGAAGAAGAGAGAAAGAAAGAAGAGAGATGGCAGGCAGGAGGCGACGACATTATGATGAAGTGGTGGAGAGGGTTGAATGATTGAGCAAGGAGATGGCACATTCCAACATGTGTTGAAATGTTGTAGACATCCCTTGGAGGAGGAGGAGGGATGGAATGGCATTGCGGCGAGTGAAGGGGTGCTTGGCACGGGCAGACTTGACTGCCGTCTGCTTACCTCGATAATAAGATGACAGTGAGGAGTTGTGCGGGGAGTATGAATGCAAACAAAGGAAATGCTGAGTGACCTACCTGCTGCCATGTCTACTAGGCTTGAGCGGTTAGTGCATCGCCACATCTACGTTGTCGAGGTGCAGACGTGTAAGATGGATGATGTCCTCATTCATGATAGGCTGGTGTTGGCAGACGAGGTGCATCAACGGCAGCGAGATGGCTGGAGATGGCTGCATGGAGTAGTATGTTATACGAGTCGGGTGAAGAAGAGGTGGAGTTGTAGACTCGCAGGCTCTCGTAGACTTTCTAGTAGCGACGAGAGGGCGGTGTAGGCAGACAATGGAAGGGTATTAAGTATTTTATCTAGTTGGTGACGACAGATGGCGATAGAGCTAGGCAGGACAGTAATTAGTAGTTGCAGCACAGATGCATGACGAGTGGAAATGCCCCGACAGGCGCGGGATGTCCTGCTATCCGAGACCGCCTGCCTGTAAGCCTTGAGCGAGGAATGAAAGGATGGATGGATGGATGGATGAATGAATGAATAGATGAATAGATGAATAGATGAATGCATCAACAAGACGGGGAGAGAGAGAGAGAGAAATGGCGCAAGGGACAGTGCGCAGTGGGCAGCAAAGGGTAGAAAGGGTAGAAGTAGATTAGGAAACAGACAGGAATGCGGCCAAAGCATGGTGGAGATGCTGCAAGATGGTCCAGATGGCCGTGATGAGGCTTGGGAGGGGACCAAGGGTGGAGACATTCACGAGGAGGCGCATGCACGCAGCCAGACAGGCAGACAGACGATAGACAGACACTATCAAACAAGAGGATCGTCGAGAGATGGATGCGCGGTTGCAGTGCAGTGGTCTCTACCGTGTGATTATCGATGAGGCTGTGTGTGCGACAGTCATGCTAGCTAGATTACCTATATCCACGACAAGCGAGCCATGACAGTCCGGGGTTATAATAATTAAGTGGTAAAGAAGCACGTCCTCGCGCGGCAGCATTCTTATTCGTCGTCGCAGGGCATGTTTTGATGATGCAGGCACTGAAGGCAGTATTAGTTGGTTGGATGGTTGGTTGGTTGGATGGGGCGTGGGCGAGGCATGGGCATGGGCATGGGCATGGGCATGGGCGTGGGCGTGGAGCATGTATGTGTACGTCTGTGTGTATGTCTGTGTGTACGTCTGTGTGTACGTCTGTGTGTTTGTATGTGCGTAGTGTATAGCCGTCTATAGTTAATTAATTAGTGAATGGTGAATGGCAGGCCGGGAGCGTCATACTGCTTGCTGCCCACAAGATGCACTCGATAGGATCATGTAGTCCAAGCCTAATTAGTAGGTTGCATCTTGCTGCGTCGCGATAGAATCTCCATTGATTGATTAGCTAATTAGGTGAATGGATGAATGGGTCTACAAGTCTACCTGCTAGGCTATCTTCTATTATCCACTTTGGCTTTATCTTCATAATACATATATTAGATGAAGACGCCCCCCGGCCATCTCAGCTTGCGAGCCCTACACTCCTCCGTCTCCACCACCTCAAGACAAAGCGAGTTGGGAACAAAGTACGGTAACATCATCACCATTACAAGCAAAGCCTGCCCTGGCCAACTGGTGACCTGCGCGCACCCTCGCTGTCGTATAGAAAAAGCTGAAAAAGAGCAACAGAGGCTCTCTCGGCCCAGGCTCCTCCGCGCCGCCGCCGCCGCCATCCTATCATCCCAAACTTCCCAAACAAATTGATTCGCAGGAGACTTTTTGGGCGATTAATAGTGGTACAATCTAGGAAAAAGAGGCGATTGAAAGTCCGACAATCTCACTGCTGCTACTGCTTGACTATTATTATTATTACCTACGGACGCCCTGCATCTGTACTGCATCTGTGTGCATCTCCGGCTGTGAGTGCCTTCAGCTATACAGTACATCAAACAGTCAGCATGTCGTCGTCGTCGTCGTCGTCGGTCATGGTGGACAGCTACCGTCCTACCACTTCTCTTCCCTCTCTACCCCACCGCAAACCTCTACCTGCCCCCGGCTCCAAGACACGATCTTCCACCTCCACCACTACCACCACCACCACCTCAACTGCATTCACTCACTCTCCCTCGCATCTCTCTCACCACTTGCAACAACAACAACAACAACAACAACAACAACAACAACAACAACAACAACAACAACAACAACAACAACACCAACAACACTCGCGCTCCCGCACCACCTCGTCCTCTGTCTTTCCTCTCCTCAACTCCGCCGCCCCGACTCCTCCCTCTCGTCGCACCCTCTCCAACGCCACATCCTCGACCGCGAGCAGTCAAGGCCACAACATGAGTCTCGCTCGTTCAAACTCCGGCGGCCTGCAGCGCACCCCCTCGAACCGCTCCGGCCAGTCAAACTCGCCCACAAGCTACGTCTCGTTGATGCGGAAACAAAAGGCTACCGTCTGGTGCGACAGGTCTCAGCACGAAGATCCGCGAATAGTAGAGCAGAGAAGACAGGCCAAGTTGCGTGCCGCTGCGAAGATGGTCGGCGGTGGAGGCGCGCGACAGTCCGTCTCGACTGCTTCCGTCAACTCTAGCGTGCGCTCCATGATCAGACACCATGGCGTACCCAAGGCGACACCCTACGCGCCTGCAAACATGTCTGGCACCGGCGTGCCTATGCGCCTCTCCGCCACCGAGGTCGACGAGGAGGACAGCGACGACGACAGCAACTACCACAGCGCCCCATACCACCGTCGCACCGGCAGCGGCAGAAGCTCCCTCACCTCGGCCGGCCCGCGCATCTCGTATATGCCTCATCACAACTCCTCTGCTACTACTACTACTACTGCTCCTGGACGCTTCAGCACCAGTAGCACGCCGCCCAGCAATCAGGATCGCAGCCCGCCCGAGGGGGGCGACGACATGGCTGACGAGACGCCCGTCCCTCGCAGCCGCCCAGACTACTTTTCCACCACCTCCACCGGCAGCGGCAGCTCGGGCGAGCGCGAATCCAGCTTTGGCGCTCTCGGCCAGATACCCTCACACGCCCCGCGCGACCTCGGCGCCGAAAAGAAGGCCAGCGACGATCTGCGCAGAAGAGGCAGTGTTGACGACCGGTCCATGACCATGAGCGGGAACGTGCGACTCTTTGTCGCGAATCCGGACTTGTCGGACTGACTGCCTTGAGATTTTTATTTATTTCCATTTTTGCTATCCATTCCTTGTCCATGTATGGGTTCGGCGGCGGCGGCGGCTTCGTCTATAATACCATTGGAGGCGTAAACGACAAAAAGAGCTTTTGATCTACGGACTATTATACCTACATCTATCCATCTACATAGTAATACACCCCCTCGACTATTATGCTTGTTGACAAAAAGTCTGTCCCCGACAGCACAACATTGCTTACTACTTTACTCAGCCTTGCGTACCTCCAAGGTACCTAGTAAGCGCGCCAATACCAACCAACTAATTTAATTCATCCATATCGATCTGCACTCGGCATGTAACCCTGCACGGCACTCTCCTGACCACAAAGACATAATTAGAAGTGTGAACCATGATCTCATCCCGCTGCCTTCCGCCATCCATCCGCCACACCCACAACAATCCCACCTCTCTCCTCCACCCCACCGGACTGCCGCTCCCGGCTGCTTCGGCAAGCTTTACCTGATCCTGAATGCGGAACACCTGTTATTGTGAGGCTTGGTGGCTTTTTTGCATTAGTGCATACTGTATCTAGTGCATCCTCTATTGTCAATTTATCGTTACCTCCTTGGCTCTTTGGTGTCTATGCTTGTGTCTGTGGGTTGTGCTGTTGGATGTGGTGTGTGCTGTGCTTGGTTGACTGACTGGCTGGCTGACTGACTGCTACTGGTAACTCCGATCTACCTAATTACGGCCACCGAACGCGGAGCTTTAAGCGACAGTGCAACATGCAACACCACGACCACCACTCCCGATTGTTCTGCTTGCAAAATGCGACAATACACTCTTCTTCACAAGAACGCAATCCAAGCAACTCGCACATCAATACCAACACCACCATCAACATCAACATCAACATCTTCGCTGCAGCACGCTTGCTTGACGTCAGTGCCATCGTGTGCGCGTCGGCCTCCACCACCCCCCGATCTGAGCGTCCTGGCCTGGTATTCCCTAGCCCGGCCCCCCCGGTTGACAAGACAAGCCAAGCTTCCCCGGACTTGTTGAACGTCTGCTGCGAAGACAGACCCACACTGCTGTCTTTCTTTCAAGTCCAACACAACAGAACTGAACATACCACATCTCCGCAGGCCCGTCCAATCGCCAATTGAACTCACAATCACACCGCGGAGAGCTGTGTGTGCGCGTGTGGGCTGCGGCAGCCCTGAGAAGAGAGAGATGGAGAAGAGCAGGGCGAATGGCATACATGCAAAAGAGGTGGAGAAGAGCACGGCGAATGGCATACATGCAAAAGAGATGAAGAGCAAGGCGAATGGCATACATGCAAACAACACCGACGTCGACAGCAGGACCGACCATACCCGCTGGCGGCTGAAGGATGACAGAGGCGCCCAGACTTGGCATTATCTCGACTCCGACGACGAGCTTGAAAAGTGGCCGCAGAGCATCGCGGATAAATACCACTTGGGCTTGCCTACGGTATGTCTTGTCTCCTTGCACTCACTCGCTCACTCGCACTCATTTCCCCCGTGCAAGTCTTGCTGATCCAAGCCCCTATGTCCAGAACCTGCCAGACCTCCCCCCCGCCAAAACTCCCCTCGAGTGCGCCCGCAACGGCCTCACCTTCTTCGAACAACTACAGCTCCCCTCCGGCCACTGGGCCTGCGAGTATGGCGGTCCCATGTTCCTCCTCCCCGGCGTCGTCATCGCCTGGTACGTGACCGGCACCCCCATCCCAGACGCCTACCGCCGCGAGATCCGCAACTACCTGTACGCCCGCCAGAACAAGCACGACGGCGGCTGGGGCCTGCACATCGAGGGCCACAGCAGCGTCTTTGGCTGTGCCATGAACTACGTGACCCTGCGCATCTGCGGTGCCAGCGCTGAAGACCCCCGCATGGTCAAGGCCCGCGGCACGCTGCACAAGCTCGGCGGTGCCGCCTCTGGCCCGCACTGGACAAAGTGGTGGTTGAGCGTGCTGGGCGTGGCAGAGTGGGAGATTGTCAATCCTGTCCCGCCCGAGCTGTGGCTGCTGCCGGACTGGGCTCCCATCGCGCCGTGGCGCTGGTGGGTGCATATCCGGTACGTCTATCTGCCCATGTCGCTGGCCTGGTCGCGGCGCTGGTCCATGCCGCCGAACGACTTTACGCGCGAGCTGAGGGCGGAGCTGTACACGCAGCCGTACGAGTCGATCAACTGGGCCGGGCACCGCAACTCGATTGCAAAGGAGGACAACTACCAGCCGAAGCACTGGATCCTGAACACCCTGAACTGGCTGCTCGTCATGATCTGGATCCCCTTCCTCCGCACCGACTGGCTCGTCCAACGCGCCGAGAACTGGGTCTGGACGCTGATCAAGGGCGAGGACGAGAACTCCGACTATGCCGATCTTGCGCCTGTCAACGGGGCCATGAACCTCGTGGCCTGCCACATCGTCGACGGGCCGGACGCGTACTCTGTCCGACGACACCGGGAGCGGATATGGGAGTACCTCTGGATGAAGGACGAGGGCGTGCTCTGCAACGGCACAAACGGCGTCCAGTCCTGGGACACGGCCTTTCTCATCCAGGCCGCCGTCGAGTGCGGCTTCGCGACCGACCCGCGATGGAAGCCATGCCTGACCAAAGCCCTCGGCTTCATGGAAGACCAGCAGATGCGCGAAAACGCCACGGGCGCCGACCAGCCATACCGCCAGAAACGCAAAGGCGCCTGGGGCTTCAGCACAAAGCTCCAGGGCTACACCGTCAGCGACTGCACCTCCGAGGGCGCAAAGGCCGTCATGATGCTGCAGTCCGCCCCCGGCTACCCCAAGCTCATCTCCGACGCCCGCCTGCGCGACGCCATCGACATCATCCTCACCATGCAGAACCCCTCGGGCGGCTGCGCCTCGTACGAGCCCACCCGCGGCTCCCTCTACCTCGAATACCTCTCCGCCGCCGAGGTGTTTGGCAACATCATGATCGAATACGACTACCCGGAGTGCACCACCGCCTGCGTCATCGCCCTCTCCCACTTCCGCTCCCTCTACCCGTCTTACCGCGCCGCCGAAATCACCGCCTTTGTCGCCCGCGCCGTCCAGTACATCCGCCGCGCCCAGCGGCCCGACGGCTCCTGGTACGGCTCCTGGGGCATCTGCTTCACCTACGCCGGCATGTTTGCGCTCGAGTCGCTCAAGTCGGTCGGGGAGGTGTACAGCAACAGCGCGCGCGTCCAGCGCGCCTGTCGCTTCTTTACCGACCGCCAGTTTGCCGACGGCGGCTGGGGCGAGAGCTACAAGTCGTGCGAGGACCAGGTCTGGACGCCGCATCCGGACGGCAGCCAGGTCGTGCAGACGGCTTGGGTGGTCATTGCGTTGCTGGAGGCCGGGTTTCCGGACCAGGAGCCGCTGAGGAGGGCGGTTAGGTTGCTTGTGCGCAGGCAGCGGGCTAATGGCGAGTGGGCGCAGGAGGGCATCGAGGGGGTGTTTAACAAGAGCTGGTATGTCTTTTCTTGTCCTGTTGGCTCGTTGTCGTATCTTTTCGTGTTGTGTTGTTGATGATGGATGTTGACGACTGATGTTGATGATTGATTGATTGATTGAAATGACTGGACTGACGTGTCGCTTGCAGTATGATTTCCTATCCAAACTACAAGTTCATCTTCCCCATCAAGGCGCTGGGCATGTACGCTGCCCGCTACGGCGACGATGCTGTCGTGTAGGTCCTGGTCTGGCTGGCTTGGCTTGACTTGGCTTGGCTTGGGATTGGTCTGGCCTGGCTTGGGGTTTGGTTTGGCCTGCTTGGTCTGGCCTGGCTTGGTTTGGCCTGGCCTGGCTTGGGCGGGTTTGCGGAGAGTGTGTCTGGCCTGGCATGGCATGGCATGGGTAAAGGGATATCTGGAGCGGTAGTGGTGATAAAAGCACAGTTGAGTGGTTGAGTGGGTGTAAGATACGTATATGGCATCTATGGATGGATGGATGGATGGATAGAGCTTGACGTACGTACGAACGTACGTACGTAGATGCGCAGATACGTAGATACGTAGATGAGTGTGCAGATAAGTACGCGGATAAGTACGCAGGTAAAGGGACAAAAAGTTGGTCTGTATGCATGTATCCATCAATATCCTATCAAAATGAAGGTCATCAAAGGGCTTCGACGGCTGTAATTGATAGCCGTCCTTGAAAGCTGTACTAAATGGCTATGCTTATAGCCGTCCTTAATAGCCGTCCTTAATAGCCGTCCTTGTAGTCATGCTTGATAGCCATCCTTGTAGCCGTCCTTGCTAGCCATCCTTATAACCATCCTTTATAGCCATCCTTAATAGCCGTCCTTATAGCCATCCTTTATAGCCATCCTTAATAGCCGTCCTTGAAAGCTGTACTTGTCCCCTATGCTTATCCACTGTGCATTCTTAGAGTGGTCATGTCAAGACTAGATTGTACGTTCGTCTGGGGCGGTTGGATACTTAGGGGGCAACGATGGATAAGGGGTAAGGGGTAAGAGAGAAGAGAAGAGAAAAGGGCGAAGAGCGAAGAGAAAAGAGAAAAGAGAAAAAAGAGAAGACCGAAGAGCGAAGAGCGAAGAGAAAAGAGAAAAGAGCGAAGCGAGAAGAAAAAAGAGCGAAGCGAGAAGAGAAAACACACTCCCAATTCCACCCTCGCAGCCCGAGTGCCTTAAGCGTTATATCATCTTATCATCAGATTTATAGCATAGATATCCGATCAGATATCATTCATATAGCCAAGCATACATTTACGACGGTCAGTATGTACTCACTATACCGCCGGTATGCATGGATTATACTTGTGCTAATACTTTGTATATGCCATGTATATTTGTAAATATATGGTGCTGTATTACTATGTTACATATACCACTATACACAATTATATGCTACATACCACACAAATATACCCCTATACACATACCACGCAAACACACCCCTACACTAGATACCCCCATACTACACACCCCTATACTACATACCCCTATACACACACCCCTATACACACACCCCTATACACACACCCCTATACACACACCCCTATACACACACCCCTATACACACACACACCTCCATACCGCGCTACATACCCAGCCGCAACGAGTGTTTCTATGATTGGTAGTGCTGGTAGTGGTGGTCCTGGTGTTGGTAGTGGTAGTGGTAGTGCTGGTGCTAGTCGTTGATCAGGTTATGCATGCAAAAGGTAGAAAGTATGATTATAGGCTTGGTGGTGATCGAGGAGGATGAGAGTGGTGGGTTTTGAGTGTGGGGTATGGATTATGGGTGGATTTTGAGTTGTGGATTTTGAGTTTTGGATGTTGAGTAGGGGGTTGGGTTGAGTAGGGGGTCGATGGTGGATGTTAAGCAGGGGGTCGAGGTCGAGGACGAAGACGACGAGTGGTGAAGACGACTAGGCGAATGACGACGAGGGGGAACACGACGAGGGAAGGACGATAATAAGTTGCAAGGAGCTATTAGTTGGTATTTGGGTAAGCGATGTAAGAGTTACAGTCGTGATGGCGGAGGAAGCTTTGATGCGGAAGTGTATATACACCTCCACACTCCATACTCCCTCAAGATCATCACCCTTAAACACGGCGTATTCGGCAGCTACCCGCAACCGGCAGCCACCCGCATTATTCATTCAAGGATGCAAGGCACACGCGGGTGCGCCCGTCCTCTATCCCTGATCTGTGCTGACCTGTCTGTGGACAGGGGGTGTCGCAGGGCTCTATGTCTACGTCGAACTTCTGTGGCGTCGCTGTTGGTTTGGGTTTCATCACGTGTCTTGGATTCGGACTGAGGTGGGGGCTGTTGTGTGGTTTTTTTTGTGTGGTTTGTTGGGTAGTGGATGGTTTTGGGGGGGAGGGCGAGGATGTGGGTGTGCTTGTTGGGGTGGCGCTGTTTATGGTGTACAGTAGCTTCGCGGGAGGGTATGGTTGGCGTGGATTCTTGTCGATGTTGATGTTGCTTTGTTTGGAGAGCACAGTGTTGTTGTGGCGATGGCATGGTTGTCTGTTGATGGTTATCATTGTTTATTCACTACGGATAGTCTTTGTGTATCCGTTGTTTTCGTGGACTGTCTAATACGAACTTCATTCTCTGCAGATCGTGCACTTTAGTAGGGGCTTGTTGTGAAGGTACGTTGGCTTATCTCGCTGGTCAAACTTGTTTACCCTCCTTTCATGTCCGTGACTCGGACAGTATACTGCTCACCCAGTCTCTCTTCGATGTGTCCAGGGAGCATCTCCACACATGTCCGCCCAACCCCCTACGACTCCAGAGCACGTTTCTTCGTTTCCTGAGCTGCGTCTCTCGCTTCGACACTGTGCATACCTTCTTTGACGCGTACGTACCACATTGTGTTCCAGGAAGCTGATGACGCAGCCCCTTTGCTACAACACATATGGACATGAATGGCAAATTCCAAAAACCACAACACAGGCACTCGATCTCGCAAAAAGCCCCGTCATGTCGTGACTTCTGGCTTCCTGGCTTCCATCTTCAAGCCCATGTAGCTCGTGTTGCACCACATGTCCCCAGTCAGCAAACAAGAATGATCGCTGCCCGTGCTGCCAAGATATTACGAGCATCCATTGCGATGCTTCGGCTGTACAAAGAGGACGAGCCTCTTTCTCCACAATATCCCTGGGCTACAGCATCCTTTGTCCAAGTCCCTTCCTGACTTGGCCCTTACCCCTACCCACACGCCGCTGCACCGCCCTCATGACTCCAGCGTACGACCATTATTCATCACTGCCAATGCAAAAAATGCCGTTCTACAGCCATGACAGTCCCTGTGCACGAGCACACATCTCGGAGGTTCCTCCGAAATAGACCAGGACACTATACAAGGGGTCTCAGACTTGCTGAAGATTCGTTGATCTCCTCGTTCTACACTGTGCATACATAAAGTCCCAAAGTCCACTGTAAATTGCTTCCTTGACTTGGAACCGTTATGATCCCACCAGACAGTGTCCGCATCTTCGGCCAAGGACACGGTTCCAGTGTTTTGAGACATAATCTGCCTAACCGACATTGACCCCCTTTCGCCGTGTTGGCGACGGACACACTTCCCATGGTACCTGGCTGATCCACAGTGCTTCCCTGGCGGGTATCTTACCCTCCCGCGCCTCGAACAGGAGAACGAGCACGGTGTTGATTCAGTCTTGCCTCGCTTGCTGTCGATGAACAGAACCGGAGCGTTATACGCGCGGCCCCGGGTCTAATTTGCCCTATCATTTTCAGATGCTGGCGAGTACATACAAAATCTGTCTGGCTATTCATCCGTTCAATTGCATCGGCATATCAACGACTGCACGGCAAGAGTGTGGCACGATCCAAGTGGGAGAATTACCGGCAACTATCTCCTATCATGCAAGATCAGTACGAGCAGTTGGGCGCCTCCTGGACGGAATTGATGTTCCACTTTCAGGGGGAATGGCAGCTACGTACCCAACAAGCACCGACGAGTTCTTTGTTTTCATACCGGCCCCTTTCTTGCTCCTGGCAATCCGTCGCTTTCATACTCCTCTTGTAAGAACATAGTCAATACTAGATCAATCCAACCCCCAGACTAATCACATATTCCAGCCTCTGGCGCTATGTCAGGTTCCTACGACACATCCAGCTATGGCTCCAGCGTAAGCCCATCCCTCTCCCCCAAGATCCAAAGTACAAGCCCCAAGATGCCACCGTACTGATCCCGACAATCTGCGACAACACCGAGATGCTGGAAGTCACCATCCAAAAATGCGCCCTCTCCAGACCCTCCCAGATCATCCTCGTCGGCGTGACAAACCGCAAAGTCCTCGACCCCCTCGTGGAAAAGTACGTCGACGAGTTTCGCGATCACTACGGCACCAGCCTCAAAGTCCTATACAGCAAGGAAGCCAACAAACGCAAACAAGTCGCCATCGGCATCAAGCAGATCGCATCTTCCATCACCGTCCTCGTCGACGACGACGTCATCTGGCCCGACCGCCTCCTCCACCACCTCCTCGCGCCCCTAGACAACCCCACCGTCGGCGCCGCCGGCACCCTCCAACAAGTCCAGCTCCGGCCCGGCCTGACGCTCCCCGAGCAACTCTTCGAAATCCTGGGCTCATTCTACATCCAGCGCCGCAACGTCGAAATCACCGCCACCACCGCCATCGACGGCGGCACATCCTGTCTCTCCGGCCGCACCGCCGCCGTCCGCACCGGCATCCTCGCCGACCCCGCCTTTCTCGCCGGCTACACGGCCGAGACCTGGCGCGGGCGCATCCTCAGGGCCGACGACGACAACTTCGTTACGCGCTGGCTGTATAAGCGCGGGTGGCAGATTCGCGTCCAGGTTGCGCCCGAGGCCGTCGTCAGGACGTATCAGGAGGTGTCGCCTAGGTTTCTGAAGCAGTGTTTGCGCTGGGTACGGAGCACGTGGCGGAGCAATTATACGACGTTGGTGTATGATGGTGATGTCTGGATGTAAGTGCCCCACTTGAATCGATGGTTTGCAGCAGTGTGTCGTACATTCACTCACGTCGTTCTCCGCGCAGGAAACAGCCCTGGTCGACATACGCGCTGTACACTCAAGTCCCCTTTCCATCCATCCTCATCGACCCGCTCCTCCTCTGGCTCCTCCTCGGCGCAACGTCCCCATCCACCGGCACCTACACCACAAGCACAGTCTTCCTCCTCTGGCTCGCCCTCACCAAAACGGCTAAATTCACACCCCTCTACCGCCGCCACCCCAGATGGCTCCTCTTCCTCCCTGCAACGCTGCTCTTCGGCTATGTCCATGCCTTTATCCGGTTCTATGCTCTGTGCACGCTGTCTGATACGGGCTGGGCGAGCAGGCCGCTTATTGATGCGCCGGTGCGGCCGTCGATGTTTAGGCGGATTACGAGTGGGTTGGGGATTCCGGATGTGGCGCGGTCGTGGGCCGGGTCCGGGTCGCGTTCTGGGGCGCGTGGGGGTGAGGGGTCTGGGGATTCGAGGTTGGGGGAGGTTGGTGGGAGTGGGAGTGGGAGTGGGATTGGTGGGTGTGAGAAGTGAGGGATGTCGGTCTTGGAGAGTGGGTAATGTCCATTGTTGTTGCTGTTTTTCGATATTACGATGTTTGGATTGGTGGTATAGGGGCGCGCTCCGAGTGCTACCCTTGTAAAAACTTGGATCAGGGGTACTGGACTTTGACGACGTCTGTATTTTCGGTTGTAAAAGTTGTCTTCTTTCGGTTGTAAAAGCAGCTTCTTTCCGTCACGGGAGTGACACCCCTTTCGGTATCAAAAAGTAAGACTGTTCTCGGTAGCAAAATGTAACACTATTCTCGGTTGTGGGACAATCTTAGCTAGCTAGCTCCAAAAAACGATCAATCGCTTCCCATACTGCTGGAAAGCACAAAGTCTTTCCACGGGCTCGTCGACTAGACGTGCTTGGTTGTCTACGATACACTGTATTCAATCACAACGCCTAGACTCTGATATGAGCCGCCTCCTCCCCTTCCGGTACTTAATGCGCGGAAGCAGTAGCCCTCGTGAGATACGAATTAAGGACCATTGACTAGCTGAATAGATAGATCCCTACATACGTCTCCCATCCATCGGGTCCATACCAAGTATCGTTGCATCAGCAACGACAATGCACCATCCATGAGCCCAACATAATACGCACGCATCCACAGCTGTACAGCCAAGTACACTCACACGACAGCACCGAGAAACCCGAATTCAGTTCGTCCAGAGCACGGACAAGGAGGTGTGCGATACTGTATACCATACTTCGTTCACGAAGGCCTTTGACATCTCTCTTGTCGAGCCACCAAATCATGCCCTCGTTCATGTTCATACATCGTATGGCAACATACGCCCTGGTTGCGCGGCCGACGACGCTACTACAACATAACATACCACAGCAACATATATGCCAGCACGTTCAATACCCACAACACCCCCAGTCCAACTGCCAGCGCTGGCGTCCTGTGCATAGGTCTCTGTGGCTGCACGACGGTATGACGCGCTGTCCAGGTACCTCAACTCGACTCGGACTTTTCGCTCCGAAGTCATGTATATGCGTAGCCAGTGGCTCATGGAGGATAGGTGTGGTTTGGAGTTACAGGGAGACTGGAGTTTGTGTGATGTTGGGATATATATACTTGTGTTGATGTCCTAATGCTTCTTGGCTGCGCTTTGCTGGATGGCGGTCGTTTAGTGGTCGTATCGGAGGGATATGTGATGGCTTGTACCGGCTGGAAAGAGGATGGGAGGATGAAAACGGGGGCATGAAGGAGGGGGGATTGAGAGAGGAAGGATTTTTATGTTCTTGGATGGTACGTTGGATCCGTCGACTAGCACGAGGTGCCCAGCATCACTCGTCAAGCATGCACATCACCTGGCTGCATATCGAATCATTGCATACACTTGGCATACTGATCCCAACATTCCTAATTCACATTTCCAGCAGTCATGATCAAAAACGCCAGCTCTCTAGCCAACACCCGCTTCTCGAATTCTCCCATGACCATACACATGGCAGTAGCTACGACGACATCTCGCAAGTCTACAACAGCGCCAGGCGCATGATCCAGCGCCAACTTGCGGATCTGTGCATCGAACAGGTCGAGCTTGCCGGCCTTCTCGGGCGCGATCGAGCAGGTATACGTGGCAAGACAGACTTCTACCGGGTGACATGCATGGGGGTCATCGTCGGGGAGCTGTGCCATCAGCTTCAAATGAGCATATCGGAGCAGCGATCCCAATCTCCGAGTCTCTCGTACGGTGCTGGTGCCTTTCCAGGAGAACGATACGCCCTGCCACGTGAAGGTGTACAGGCGCGTTGACGTGCTCAGCGGAGACACCCAGCGCAGATGGATGACTTCGTCGGCTTCGACGGGAGTTCTGGACTCCGCACTTTCGACCTTTTGCTCTTCCACGCTCTTCATGTCTGTCTTCTGGGTGTCCTTTCGCTGGCTATTGACGAGGCGGTGGTATTTTTTGCCCGACTCACCCCACATTCGCCACGAACGCACTCCATACCCCTTCAGCGCTTTCTCGTTGTTGACATGGTCACCAGTGTGTTCTGCGCACACAACACCACGAGGATCAATGACACCCTCCGTGGCCAGGCTCGGACCGATCTGTATCTTCCAGCTGTTCCAGAACGAACTGTTGTGGATCAAACACACAGGAGGGAGCTGGGCCTGCGAACTTTTCGTATGACCGCGTCGGAGGAGGTGCGGGGGCGCGTGGAACGAAAGGATCGGCTGCTGTAGGAAGAAGCTCTGCGGAGCCCTGATCCCGAGGTTTGAGTTTACGTCGAATTTGTCGATGCCCCTCCAGGTTGGGAAAGCCTTTTCTTTCCTTGGGTGTGTGCAAGGCGTGAGTAGGATGTGATGCTTGTCACGGTAGACGTTCAGGGTCGTCGAGAGCTACCCAAGCAGTGTCAGATCAGGGCATGGATGCGACGAGTAGGGACAGGGAACACTGCCGCTGCATAATAATTACCTCAGATACCATCGAACCCTTCTCGGCATCGTGCGCCTCCTGAATAGTAGTGTTTAACCCTTTAGAGTCCATGGTCTTCGATAGCAACAACGGAGACCATGCATCTACTAGATGTGAAGCATTACATCGCGGCGAAGAGGGACTTAGGTCGACCTTGGTCGAACTTCTCCTTGCGTGCAGACCTTGTGATTAGCCAAACATTGAGGCGGCTTAATACGAAGCACAGCCCCAATCACCGGCTGGGAATGATGTGACAGCTAGGGAAGTCTACCAGGAAGACTGACCTCGCATGCAAGGCCATCAATTCATACCATCAGGCTGCCCATGATAGCGAGGATTGATTGTACGATGAACATTACACGAGTTGGTGGATGCAAAGCAGACGCACTCCTGTCGTGGAGTCGGGTGTGGTGGTAGGGCTCCGAGCCTGAGGCATCAAAGCTAGATCATGCCACAATTCATCTTATGTCTATCTCCCGATCACACAGACGACTAGTCTACTTAATAGAGCTTTCTCAATTGGCTCAGAAAAGGCTATAGCATTTTGGAAGATGCGGTCTGTAGGCTGGAGAGTGACAGGACTGCCTAGTTCATTTCGGAGGGTAAGTAGAATTCTTGCGGAATACCTAACCAGCCATGACGACTTCATACAAAGTAGTAATTACCTCAGACAGTATACTCGAATATTCACGACATGGCAACGGCCATAGAGACGGGCCAGTTGAATGTATCTCAAAGTATTGGACTGCCTTCCATGGACCATGAGCTTAACTCGGCTGCTCTATCAGATGACTGCCTTGCTACAGAGCAGTACCGGGCACCGTCACCAGTGGCGTCGCAAATCTGATTGTGAATTGTTAGATAGATGTCCAAACAACAACGACCCCAACCCACAGTCCGAATTCTATGCGGACAGCAGCTCAAGGAGGCACTGTCATTAATCTATCCTAAATGTTGCCTCATCTGTCGGGATGACCGCATTCTGTCTTTCATGAAGACCGTGACAACCTTGAAACCACAGGACTTGACCGGGCAATACTTCTCCGATGATGCTTCAAGATGAATTGCGAGCACGTGTTCAGATGGGTTTTTGAGTCCGCCGAGGCAACCTAAACGACTACCAACCCATTGCTGACCTATCTATGCTAAAGGGATTGCCTGGGTGGCCGCAATACGAATAGATCTCTACGCGAGATCACGAGCGCATAACTGTATTGGACATGCAGGCCGTGTGAGGCATCCGGGCATCGACCACACGTCGCATCGAAATCGTGATGCTAAAGTGCCAGCCAAGATGCCAATCAAACGCAAGGAGTCGGCGACATAGGGATCGACGTGAATGATCTGAAAGTTGAAGGATAATGTGAAACAACAAATGACGCACTGTATGTAGTCTGTGGCCTCGCGCAGTCTTCTGGTTCTGGTATACCTATATATACACATACACGCATGGCAAGACTTGATACGCGCAGCTTGAGGTCTCATCACGTCAGGGTCTGGTCTGGCGGTTGTGAGAGGATAGCCGCGCTGGTATGGCAGTAGGCCACGAAAGGGCAAATAGGACTGAAACGGGAAAGGCGAGACGCCCGTATGCCTGGCATCAACAAACCCCTGAGGCGAAGGAAGGCGGCGGTCTAATTAAGGTCTTGGACTTACTGGAGATTACACGTCTGTGATTGGCCGAAGCTTTGGCACTCTGAGGCTCAAGGCGCAAAAAGGAATTATGCCAAGTGGTCCGTCCCTTGGCACTATGCCTTTTGCCTTCAGTGTTTGGCGCCAACGGTTCAACCCTTGCACAATTCCTGCCCCTTGGACCCCTTCTGTCAATCCAGTGCCTCAGAGCATGTCATCTTTTGACGGTTTTCAATTTTGAACCATAAGAGACAGTCGAGTAGAGCGAGCATGTAATTAGGCCAGAGAGCCAATACACTGGCCTATGCAGTGAGAAATTCACGTCTTCAATGGACGGCTCGAGTGGTTCCGTGTAGCGACCTACATAACTTGCGCCAGGAGATTGGATGAATTTGGCGACAAGCTGACCACAACCTTCCGGACTGGGGACCCAAGAGACTAGAGCACGAGGCTAGGCAAACAAGCATTCATTGCACATTACTCCGTACGTTTTGAATACCACCGCCATGGCGTATCGGCTGTCGCTACCGCCTATCAGTGGGATCGGCCCCTGGGAAGGCCATGGCATCTCCCTTTTTACCTCTGCGCATCCCCTCGATGTCACTCTTCTCTCAGACTCTTCATCCTTCAACAAAGCATTGTACCTGTACCTCCTCACTCTTTCGGAGACTGGTACTTATTTATTTTTAATCGTTTTCATCACAATCTCTACATCGTATTTCCTACAACTGATCCAAATCTCGACCACTTTCGTTATACCATGAAGGCTTTCGCTCTCGCAGCCGCTCTCCTGGGCGCTGCTGTCGCCTCCCCTACAGGCACGGTCAAATCTGTGACGAGGAGACAAGATGGTAGTCTTCCCATTGTCACCACGAAAGGAAACGCATTCTTCGCTGGCCAAGAACGTTTCTACCTCCGTGGTGTCGCCTATCAGCCAGGTGGTGCCGCCGACGTTGCGGACCCGCTTCTCAACACCGAGCAGCTCAAGCATGACATTGAGCTGTTCAAGCAGCTCAGCATCAACACTATCCGTATCTACTCGGTCGACAACTCCAAGCCTCACGACGAGGCCATGAAGATGCTCGAAGATGCTGGCATCTATCTTGCACTTGATGTCAACACCCCGGGCTTCTCACTCAACCGTCAGGACAAGGAATCCCTTCACCTCTCCTACAACGAGAGATATCTTCAAAGCGTCTTCGCTACCATTGATGAGTTCCAGAAGTACAACAACCTTCTCCTCATGATCAGTGGTAACGAGATCATCAACGAGAAGAACAACACTATCGCTGCGCCGTACATCAAGGCCGTCATCCGTGACATGAAGAACTACATCGCTGAACATGAATACCGCCCAATTCCCGTTGGTTACGCCGCTGCTGATGTTGCCGAGAACGTTGATCTCCAGCTGAAGTACTTCGACTGTGGTCCCGATCACCAGCGTGGAGATTTCTTCGCCCTCAACGACTACTCCTGGTGTGATCCTTCCTCTATGCAGATCTCTGGCTGGGACAAGAAGGTTGAGAGGTACAAGGACTACGGTGCCCCGATCATGTAAGTGGCCTATAATCTGCATATATGTACAACCCTAACGCACATCCATAGCATGGCCGAGTACGGTTGCAACACCAACAAGCGTGAATGGCAGGAAGTCAAGGCGCTTTTCTCGACTCAAATGAGCTCCGTTTACTCCGGAGGCATGGCTTACGAGTTCACGACCGAGGCTAACGGCTACGGATTGGTCGAGGAGAAGAACGGCGAAATTGTCCCCAACGAAGACTTTGAGCGTCTTGCCAAGGCGTACAAGGATCAGCCCGACCCAGAGGGTGACGGTGGTTACAGGTCTCAGGTTACTGCCTCCGAATGCCCGTCAAACAGTGACGATTGGGAAGTCAAGGATCTCCTCATCCCATCGATGCCCAAGGGCGCAAATGCGTACATGTCGAAGGGTGCTGGCACTGGCCCGGGTTTGAGCAAGGACGTCGAGCCGTCGCAGTACGGCGGTGAGACATACTCTGAGGAGGACATCACCATGGATGGAGAGAAGTCGGACAAGTCTCCCGCTTCAGTCAGCTCTGATGGACAAAGCTCTACTCCCAACAACTCTCCAGGTGAAGGTGCCGCTTCAGGATTGACCGTTTCGCTCTCCATGGGATTGATGAGCCTGGCCGCGGCTGTATACATGTTGTAAGAACCGGAGGGTTTTCACCTCATCTAATGTCCATTGCATCATCTACGACCGAAGAAGCAGCATATGCATCTCTCATCATTAGCGGGTATCGGCTACGGCAAGGGCCCATTGTAATATACTGGGGGAAGACGCTCTTGTGCGCGGCGTTGACGAACCATTGAATCAAATTCTTTGTCTACGGGATTAGATAGAGGAGTATCCCCATGGCCCGTCTTTTCTTCTTGTTCCTATGGAGCGCTGCCTTATCCTATGCTGGTGATTCCAACTATTGCCGCCATGATTCAAGCCATATGTAGGTAACTCCGTTTTGTCAACGAAACATCAGATTCAGTTCTTTTCGACCAATGACCCAACTATACAAGACGGAATCATCCTCCACTACTAATGTCCTCATTATGTCTAGGCAGAGTCATTCCACGCTTCTGCACGAATCACGGTATATGCATTAATTAGCTCAGCCTTGACAGCTCCAATCCAACAGTTGCTCCACACCGGCTTGACTCCACCCCGCGTCCCCGCAGCTCCGTCCTGATGAATGCAACGGCTCCATCTTCACACTCAACTGGATAGTAAGCCGAGCTGAGCGACCATTGTTAACTTATACATTAACTCCTTCTAAGACTTTCCGTAAGTAGGTGGACAGCTCACATTACCAGTCATTCGTCATCTTCTTACACCTGTCAACATGTCTGATCTCAAACCAGCACAGCTCTCTCACCCTCTCCTCAACAGCATCCCGCCACACCTCATTGACCGCTTCGACCCTACCTACGTAAAGTACCACACCCATTACGCAGCTGGTCGTCTCGCCGGCCATCAAGTCCCTATCGAGGCCTACCGCAAAGACCCCTCCGCATACAACACCCGCTTCGGCAAAGCCCCCGCCCCAGATGCCAACGTGGGCGTCATCAGCGACGAACAGCTACAAGTCACTGGCCCAGATGGCCAGATAACGATCCGCGTATACCAGCCCAAGACTACGCAGATAGACAACAGGCACGGCCGACCCATATATGTAAATTTCCACGGCGGCGGCTGGGTGTTTGGCGACCACCTGGTTGAAGCAGAACATTGCAAGCGCATCGTACACGAGACGGGCGCTGTAGCTTTCGATGTTGGATACCGCCACGCGCCCGAATTTCCGTTCCCCACGCCCGTGGACGACTGCTGGCAGGCGACACAATGGATCTTATCGCCCGCCATCATCGCAAAATATAATTTGGACGTAGCAAGAACAGCTGTTGGTGGTCCCTCCGCCGGCGGTCATCTCTCGGCTGTCGTGTCTCAGCGAGCGCGCGACGCAGGGATCAAGCTGGTGCTGCAGCTTCTACACGTGCCAGTATGCGATATGGACCATTATGATGAGAGCGGGAAGCTTTCACAGTCGGTACCGTACAAGAGTCATGTGAAGATGTACGAGACGGTTCCGTTGAGTGGTGCGCGGATGGAGTATTTCGCAAGGCACTTTCTGGGCGTACCGAGGCGCGCCGAGACATACAACGTACGTCTTGCACCCTGTTAATCGCTGCTTTTGCTGAATGTGTTCCTACATTAGAATCCATCTGTGTCGCCGATTCGCGCTGCTGATCTGAGTAATCTGGCCCCGGCGCTCATAACGACTGCTGAGATGGATCCGCTGTGCTCAGAGGGCGAAGCCTATCATAAGAAATTGTTAGAAGCGGGCAATCAGTCGGAGTACCACATGCTCAGAGGAATGCCACACATAGTGGCCGGGCTGGACGATATTTGTGATGAGGCGAAGCGATACAACGTGATCATCGTGGAGGCGCTGAAGAAAGCATATGGAATCATATAGATAGAGAACAGAGAGTGCAATTGATGTCACGACGCTCATTTGGTCCTCCCCACCGACTATCAACATAGCTATCCATCCTACAGGCACAGTGACTTTTGAGCTCGTGCTTTCACACTTATCTCGCCCCTCTCTACAGAGATATGGTACTTTCATAAAGCTTTGGAAGGAAAATCCTCCTTCAGTAGCATCCTTACTAACACACGTGCGCACAAATCATGACCACAGCTTCACCCATCCCAAAGGCGCTATGTACGTTTTGCAGCACTCATATTTAACGAACTATCATCTAGAGCCAGAATTTCCAGACAAATTGAGCACAGACTTCCATAGACGATGGTAATCTCAACTGAGGCATGCCTTACTTCGCAATAGATATACCTATGTATAGGACGAATCCGAGTATTCCAAGCTTCTAGACATTCCACTCGCCATGTGATGAGCTGGTCGAGAATATCTATTCTGCCACCCTACACCTACCAACAAGCGGTATATTTAAAACAAACCTTACTTAGCTACAACACCATCCTATTGGTATTCGAGGAGACTCCAATACCAGTTCTTAATTGTGTTTCTAAGCTTAAGCCCACTCGATCGTTCAAAAAAACAATATATCATCGAATCACGTTGTGATATCCGACCCCTTTCCAAAGCCGGTGTGAGCACCGTCTTACTTGTTATCCTCATGATATCGTTTCCACCTACATGGTAAAGTGTAGGATGCAATATATCTTCGTGTTTGGTTTTCTACATAGTCAGCGAGTTCGACATGTTCGGCCTGTTCCAAGTCGCTCTTCTTGTCATGAGTATTTGTAGACGTCGAAGCAGGTGCAAGCTATGGCATGGTTATGATGATATTGCTGTCTTGGAATAGCTGAGTCATGTTCGGTCAGGTTTCGCGATTGGATGAACTTTTTATATCCAATTGTCAACGAATCTTACATTTGGATCGGGACGGATACAGGTCTTTAGGGCTTTGACGTCTACAACCACTCTCTATGCAGTATACACTCGATACTAAATATCGCTAGAAGCCGTAGCTAACGATCTTCATATCCTCAAACTACGCGCATTGAGATTAAAATGCATTCTTTGAGCTTGAACTTATTCCGTATCCTGTCTATCCACATACTATCAAGACAATCAATATCTTTTTGCTTTCGGTGCTGTCTTATGACATAATTATGCGATATACAATATGACCTGCATGGAATTCTCACATTGGCGGATCTAAATGAGTATGATATCCTAGCTCCGTTACATAAATTGTAAAAGCTCGACTACCGTGAAAGAAGATGGCTGGGACATCAGAGAGAGGTGCTAACCAAGCTGCAGTTTAATATCCACTACAATAACCTCTCCTCAATGCCAAACTTACATTGGAAGATCAACGCACATTCGCCACGCATCAAACCACAACGAGCTCCATCATCCGGTGGGACGCCTGCCTACCTACCTCTTTCCTGACTCACACCTGAATATATATACACACTCAATACATCCGATTGCTGGAAAATGCATACCCACCTCGCTTGCACAAATGGCCTTTCTAGCCGCAATCTAGCGCATCTATCCGTCGATAACAAGCCCTCATAACGCTCTCCAACAGCGGGTCCAAAACGAGCTAGACTAACGGCTTTGTAGTATATCGTCCGAAGCTACATCCGAGCTAAGCACGTTTGCTACTGCAAGACCTGCAGTTTTGTACCTAATTAGGTTACTAGCACGGCAAACTCCAAACAGCCTCGTCGTGGAAATGATATATGCACCACCCATGGGCATACGTCAGATAAAAAACCCCCCTCCCCCTCCTCCACGTGCACACGACAGGGATACGTATATACAAAACACACACACATCCAGAGCGCCAAGCACGCAGCCCTACTCCCCACACACGTCTGCTGACGCAGTACAACGCACCGCAACTTGACGCAGTGCGACACCGCGCAACATAGCCACAAAAGCAGCAGCACAAATTACCCCAGATTTCTCGTCCGGTGCTCTTTCCCCCTTTCCCCCTGTGGCCCGCGGGCGTGCCACGGGGGCCAATCTATTATCTATCTGCGAAGCAAAGATGCTGACGGTGTCGCGAATCGGAAAATCCGGGGTAGTGGCGTCCGTCCAATAGTGAGCCAGGGGGTGGGTGTGTGTGTGTGTGTGTGGTATATTGTGTATAGGTAGCAGAGGCTAAGGGGGTTATAAGAGCGGCGTTGCGGGTATAATGGACGGTGATAGTGCGCACTAGCACAGTGGGAATTTGTTTGGGCGTGAAGACCGGCTGAGGCGCCTGTGAGAGATGTGGATATGGTTTGGTTTGATATTGATGGTGGTATTGGTGGATAGATGAGGCGGAAAAATATGGATTGGAATTTTTGTCATAAGGTGTTATTAGTTGTGGGATTCATACTAAATAGTGCGCTTTTTGGGTTATGGAGAGAGTGTATTTAAGAGAGGATGCATTTCCAGGAGTCGGATGGTTATACACATTGGAAGCTTGACAATACTAATTAGATCAGGAAGAGACTTTTTCGTTCTTCGCTATGACTCCTGCTATTTTCCTCGTGGCTCTTGTGTCAACTGCTTTGGCGGCGACGACAAACACCGGCCTGCAGACTACCTTTCCGTCCCCATCTGGAACGACGAACCTTGCCGCTGTCAAGACTGTTGCAGCTGGAGCAAGCTTCGGTATATTACTCTCACATTTCTCCTACAAGTAAACTACTCACAGAAGTCCAGACGGAGGCATGAAGCAATGGGACCGCAACCGTAAGCTCTGCAACAGATATATACCAGAACTCAAGTCTCAGACTGACCCACACAGCATCAACCTGCAACGAACAAGCTGAGGGCGGCGACTCGGACGCCGTATTCCTCCTCCAAGAAGGCGCTGTGTTGTCCAACGCCATCATCGGACCCAACAACGGCGAGGGTAATGTCTCCCCGTCTGAGAACATACACATCCATCTAACAAACCTCAGGCGTTCACTGTCTCGGCGCGTGCACGCTGAACAACATATGGTGGACAGACGTGTGCGAGGACGCAGCGACATTCAAGCAGAAATCCGGGACGTCGTACGTCAACGGTGGCGGCGCGCGCAACGCAGAAGACAAAGTCCTGCAGCACAACGGTGGTGGAACGGTTGCCGTCAAGAACTTTTACGTGCGTATCTCCTCCCTCATCGCGCTGCTTCTCGTAGAACTAACACCCTCTGGTCAGGCCACGAACGTCGGCAAAGTGTACCGTAGCTGCGGCAACTGTGGCACACAATATGCACGCAAATCAACATTCTCCAACGTCAAGGTGTCAGGAGCAGATGTCATCGCCGGCATCAACGGGAACGAGGGCGACACAACAAGCATTTCGAATTCGTGTGTGCTGAGCTCTGCGCTTTGCTGGCTATACAAGGGTAACGACAGTGGTGCTGAGCCGAGTAAGACAGCGAGTGCGCCGGATGGTAAGACATGTCAGACGAGTGCGGTGAAGACCTCTGGATGTTAGCGGTGAGGTTTATGCTACTGACGAGTGATGATAAGGAGTATGTTTATCGATGGTATGATGGCGAGGAGTGATGTGTAGATATAGCGACGCAGGAATGTACATAGCCCTTGTTGATTGCCATTATAATGATGCTCATAGGTATCATATCTTTGTCCTGGGTTTAAGTGTCGTCTACGGTCCACTCCCTGATACCCCTTGACCAAAAAGTTAGGCTTCCAAGACTCTGGCGCGTTAAAAGAGATGGAACTGCGAGATAACATTCAATGGTCAGTATCCCATGCCATGTAGTCATGGAACAAAGCAGCAGAGTCCCATTGACATGTATATTCGTGGAGATGTTTACTTGTTATCTGCTAGGTTTTGGTTTCATAATTGACCATGACGCGGGAGCTGAACGCGCGGAGAGGGAGTATCATATATATGAGGGCTTGCGAAAGACATGTCGATACGTCTTCACCTCCTATCGCCGTTATCTCCACCGCCTATTTGGCGGAAACCTTGGCCCTGTTACAGACCGCTGAATCCAAGCTATTATATCCCATTCTCACTGGGCGTGTAGCTGTTGGTAACCGTTCCCTTCTCAGGCATCTGATGTTGGCGTTTCTGGTATGCGTGCTGCTCAGCGTTAGTGTCATACGAACATCCATGGATCTTTCATTCGCTCACCTCATCCAAAGTCTCGGCGCTCCTCTCGTTCTCCCGAACAATCCGCTCAATCACTTCGGGGACCCGACCCTCCAAGCGGACCTTGCATGGTTTGGGCAGCCAGCGCAAGATATGAAATGCATTCGCGTACACACAGCTCGGCCCAGACAATGCTACAGTATGATCCATTTCGGGAAAGGCGGTCGTGAGTTTCAAGCGTAGTATTTCCAACCCCCAGCAATACCGCATGCCCATCCGTATAAGATCCGCGAAGCCTTCCAAGATATCATGATGGCTGTTGATCGAGATGATGAGAACTTTGATCAAGCTCCTGCTGCGCTGATGCAGGCGTGATAGCGTATGTAAAGCACTGTCAAGCCCGACGACGAATTCGTTGTCTCCATACAGCACGGGTCGTGCTTCATGATGGACCTGCTTGCTGATGCGCAAGATTGCAGTAACTAGAGGGTCGCAGTTTAGGTTATCGTCACGGTCGCGGCCGCATGTACTAGGGCGCTCGGCGGTAAGTCGAGGGTTCGTTACATGGACCTGGGTCCTCTGACTTCGTGTTACCCGCATGTGCGTCCTAAGCGCCGGTTGTGCCCAAGTTGGTTCTTCTTCGCCTTCAGAATCGAAGACTGAGATTTCTCTATCGGGTGGGGGTGGTTCCGGTAAGGGCATGTGGAGGTGAATTGGGTGGTTACGCTTGAGGCACATCCGGTATATGAGGATGCGCAGCTCGGCGGGTAGCTCCATGAGTGGAAAAACATCTTTGCGATTGTGCGAAGGAATGGAGGGTTGGGCTGTCAAGGCGTGAACGCTTGAGGTTGAGGGTGAGGGCCAATATGGTGCTGGTTCGGATGCATGTTGAGACGTCATTGGAGTCGTGGAGAAGTCTGGACTGAGGCTCGCCAATGAGACGATCGGTTTGGACATGATAGAAATGAACAGACAACTATGTCCTTTCAAGTCATTGTTACGAGTGGAGGTGAAGGAAGATCAAGACGCGTAAAGAGGTCGTCGAGACGGATGCCGACGTGAATTTACGACAGGCCGAGGACGGGACGGGAACTGGTGGAGCTAAGACTAAGCCTAATTCAGCCTGGCGTAAGCTTTACTGTGTACTGTATAATTAATACATGTATGCTTTCTAAGCGATGCGCGGACGACAGCGGATATCTGAGCAATACGGCATTGATCGTTTGCTACATGTCCTCCGCAAGCTATGTGACGCTCATTCGATGCGCATGTGTCAATAGTGTACTTTGCGGATTATAGTGGAGATAGTGTCCCACGAAGGCGAGGGTTTTTCCGCTGAGTTGCGTGCGTGGCGGGGAACTTGGGAACGAGGCATTTTGTCTTTGAACGTCTATGCTGGCTTCGTGATGAGGACGAGGTTCGGTCAGGTAAAGAATTGGAAGTAATGCAACTTGAGCTGCGCAAAGGAGTGGAAAAGTGTGTGCCCCGGATTGACGACCCCCGCCCTGAGCCTCTCAAGACACGTTTGATCGACCACGTAAACCATTCATGCCGCCATTTCCACTTGACCAGGCTGTACAGTCGGAAGGTGTGTCGATGGAGAAGAGGAATGATGTGGGCAGACCGACAGATCCGGACGGATTGCTGCTCGAGGGCTGGGCTCAAGGGTTTCTGGTCGGGAGCCTCGTAGTGATGAGCTGTATCACAATAGCAAATATGCGAAAAGGGGTGTTGTTGCATAAGTTGATTCTATTGGAGGTGAGCTTTAATGTTTTACCAGCGCAGCGATGCCTCTATCCGGAGACCACAATCAAGATGCTAGAGCAAAACATATACTGACACAACTCAAGCTCCTCCTCGGGATTCCTCACGGCTTCTGGATCCTCTTCCACCCACCCATCTACACCTGGTGGCTTTCTGTTTCGGCGATTCTCCTCAATGCCTCCTGGTCCTTGCACAATGTCATCGCCTGGATGAAAATCAAGCCCTTCCTCCCGCGCTGGGCATCCCTAATCTTCATAATCACCGTCGTCCTCGCCCAGCCCTACTGGATCGTCGAGATCTTTGCAAATTTTCAATATTTTCACGGCTGGGGGAACATATTCCTACGCACACGCCCGTGGGAGCCTTTATGCCGTGACCCATGGTGGATCTTCACGACCGTAGCGTTGTTCTGGAATATTGTGGCGAGATATGAGCTGAGTGCGTGGGATGTGCTACGGATTAGCCCAAGATTTGTGTTGATGCTGAGCGCGATGGTAGTGAGTGTGGTATTTATTGTACCGGATGTATTGAGCGTAACAGGTGTTTTGGACGATAAGATGCCAACGGGAATCAATCCCTTTTTCAAGCTGTCGTTCGTATTCAAGTGTCTAACGGACAGTGTGGTGCTGGACGATTTCAAGACGGCACTGGATCGCTTGCGCGCGCTCAAGTTAGGACAAATGGGCAGCCTGACAATGGATCACTCCATCTGTGAGGCGCGGTTCAGGGATCGCGAGGAGCAGCGGCGTACCTCGAGGTGGAGCTTTGGAAGATCGCTTGCTGGCGAGGGGCTTGATGGCAGGAGGATGAGCAAGATGACGAACATGCATATGGAGAGCTTACAACCTACAGAATCGGGGGAGCCATCGAGCACTGATAGAGGTACTGCGTCGTGTGGGAGGGAAAGTCCGGTGTCAGAAGAGATTCAAGAGTACAACGAGCGCATACAAAGGCAACAAAGCCCGGATACGGGGTATGCTGAGGCCATAAGAGAGGTACAAAGAGCAGATAGGTCGTCCAGGGGTTGTTTCCAAGATCTGATGGCAAGGACTTGAGATTAACGCTCCGGAAGAGCAAAGAAAGACACAGGCGCGTCTCAACAGTGCGGTGGTACGGAAGATCAAGACTAAGCGTCTGACATATTCCGTGAAGCAGTATAAGGTAGTTCACATCCATTTCGTATGCACTTGTGCTGTTAGAGCATTGGCTATTACAGTAGCTTCACATGAAGCACAAGACTGTCAATCTCGACAATAGCCAAGTATCATTGTTCATAACGAGTTACCTACAACTCTAATGACTATCCGATCACGCTCTCTTTAACATGCCTCCGATCCCTAAAAGCCAGAGGCTTGATGATGACATTGTTTTCAAAGCGGTAAGCAGCATGATGTAGCTTCCTTTCGCCTTACTAATGCAAGCACACGTATCTTGACCATCGCCATGTCCATAGGATTTATCGAGGCCACGTCGTCTTCCAATCTCTACATCTCCCCCCTCATCTGCTTCTCCCTCTTGATCGCCTCCAGATACTGCTTGTTCAGCTCCAACTTCTCGAGGGTGACCTGGTGCTTTTCCGCGTCCACCAATCTCTGTATTGCTTGTGCCTCTTTCTGTACCACTGCTTTCTCACTCCTTTCCAGGTCCATCAAATGCTGGACGAACTCAAGTTTGACGTTAATCTCGTTAGTCGTCATTGCCCCGTGAATTCCTAGCGCGGGCATTGCATAACGTGGCCAAAACTCGCTGAATGCCATCTGCAGAGAAACGTCGTGGAGAGGTGGAAGCCCATTGCGATCAACAGGAGGGGCCATGTTAGGAATATTTGGGCGAGCATTTGCGTTGCGTATAGGACCTTCAGTAATGGCCGGCTGGCCGTTTCGATTGTTTGAGTTGAGTGGTGCCTGATGGGCGGTCAACTGGTGGCTATTTTGATTGCCTTGATTGATGTTTTCATTCGTAGGGCCCGTAGTGCGCTCCTGGGGTCGGGTGATAGTACCCACTCGATGAGCAGCACCATTGCGAGATTCCAGAGCTTTTACAGCACGATCCACGTCAACACCAAGAATGCCCCTAAAGGCATGGAAAGTACGCGCATCATCATCATTTCTTTTCTTTGATTCGAAAAGAATGAGTCCCATAGCAGTTTGTGGATCAGCTTCGAGAGTGGCCAATCTCTTCAGATATCTGCTTATTGTAACTGCCCAGTCTTTGATATTGGGCGTGGGTTTGCCACTGGAGTTGCTCAATCCATTGCTGGAAAGAAGTCTTTCGAGCTCAAAGTATGTCATACCCCAAATTCGACATATTTCGGAGATATCGTTGTCGATGCGGACGGCCGTAGCATCTTTGCATTTGCGGCGAGAGGCCATCTTCGAGAACACGAGCGCAGCTAAACGTGAAGTTAGGACTAGACTGTGCTGAGATCTTACATAATCACTGCTTGTTACATACATAAGAGTGTCGTTGAGAAGAGTGGCTGGTAGTGTATGAACTTGTTTAGTGGAGCTCAGGGAAGGACTTGACAAGACGAAAACCCTGTAGCTCGATAAGACACTCCGGAGTGAAGTGGGTCGCCGGGACAACAGATCTACATGACTATGACTACGGCGTGCACGACCGTGCTATAACTCGTTCCCTAGAAATGCTATGCTCGTAATCCATTTCTAAGCACTTTGTAGTTTGAATCGATCACTGACCCTAATTACCCTCTAAGTAATAATGAGTGCGAACACAGTTCATCAGTGGCTCTTCCGTTGGGTAACACAGTTGTCTTCCAATAGCTGCTCTTCTCATCTCTATGATAATCGATCTCATTGGGGTGAACTTTCCAGTACCCACTTCCCTTGTCAAGAATCATCAAAGTGAGTTTTCATAGCTCAGGGGTAGCCTGATACAGTCCACTGTTCATCCTCAACAATTTCAGTCTTCGGGACGATTTGAAACGTGGAGATCATAGCAATATATCACCCTCGGAAAGATAGAGTTGAGGGAATCTACACCTCGAAGCAAGTTTGCTCACTTTTTGTCTCGAGTCTGGAGGAGTTTGTGCTATTGATAAGAGGACTATCAGGATGCGCCCCGGTTGTAAATAAGCGCATATTGTAGATATTATGTTACCATATTGCAGAAGCTGCTCGTAGTAAGTCTTTATTTTGCATTCATCTTCCTCAGATTCGGAGTATACTGTTCCTCCACCCAGCGATATTGAACTCATCTATAAGCAGAGTGACATGTGCGTGCTGATATACAAGTGAAGTGTATCCTAGTATACTACATAGATCTGTAGTGGTGGGCACCTTTGTTATGTGCTGTACCTATAGGAAAAGAAGGAATACACACAGTTCCTGTAGATCTCCTACGTCCCACGCCCTGTCTTGTTTACTTCCGTCATAGCTTTCAAATTTGTTGCCAAGACATTAGAACCGCCACGCGCCTCTTATACTCTCAATACGCACCATAGACCTCTACGTATCAAATTTTTGTCGTTACTCAAGGATGGATCCATCATCCCCACAACACTCGGAAGGAGGGTCCACACCTCTGATGAGTAGCACTGCTCCCAAGAGCGACGAGAGGTCCACTTCGACGTCAAAAGTAACACCAGATAGATCTGACGATGAATCATGCGACAGCAGGCCATCGATAACCATAGAGTCTGTTTCAGAAGCTCACCCACAGCGTATCGTCGATATTATACAAAAGATTTGCCTGAATTGGGACTTCACGGTGGCAGACCTAGGAACTATGTTCTCCAAGGACGATGTATTCGTCAATCAGCATGGTATAGCTTTCTCTTCCATTCATGAATGGCCGGGAACTCTGTTTCACAGTCTTTTGTCTCTGTCTAAATTGACTACGAATCTGCCGGAAATCGCAAGGATAGTCGTCCTCCAGCATACAAAGGATCGCAAGGGAAAGAATTCCCACAAAAATCAATGTGGTGTCAAGAGAGGGGATATCGATGCAGCTTGTGATACAATTGCGAGAGAGCCCAAGTTACTGGACGAGATTACCCAAAAGAGCAAAACAGAACTAGACGAAATTTTCTTACCCAGGCCCCAGAAGCGTAAGTCGCGTTGGGACGACGAACTGAGTGACAACGACGGCCTCCAGCCATATCACGAAAGCATCAGACGTACCCGCACCCGTCGTGGACCCAACGCTTCTGAGGGAAATCAACATCGCAGCCTCCATGGCAGTGATGTCAACGATGGTAATTCTGAAAATGGACTCAGTATCAGAGATGCAGATGATTCTACTACGTCTGACCATCTCCATAACGGGGCAATGATTCATGGAGATGCGGATACTCAACCCGGTGAGACAATGCTACAGAACGGAAACGTGCATGCTCCACCATATGACCAATTACTGATGAATCAGTCAGACGAACACACCATCGATAGCAACAGGCAAGAAAGCTCTGAAGCGTCGCGCGAGAACAGCTCCACTTCTCCACCTTCAAATGACAGGGCCAGCAGCTCCATCGACCATGACCCTCAGAGCTCTGAGACTGCCAACAAGAACCAGCTTGTGCCTACTTCCAGCCACAATCTCCCTGAGTACTATGCTCGTTTTGCTAACCACGACACATTCCATACGCTTGAAGATCTCGCGAGATTCCTCCCTCACTTCTCCTCTCCGTATCTGACACTTGATACGGCCATGAGTTTCACGGATCTCAACACAAAGGTCCTCATGATCGACTACATGAGGAGCTTGCCGAAATTCGAGAGCCCTGAGGAGCAGGCTCGACTCGGTCTTTCTAAACTTTTTCTCGAGGGTCGAGAGAGGATTGCTGGAGCATTGGAGGACGAAGGCAATGATAATAGCATGGCAGGAGATGAAACTGGGGATGAAGAACTTGCCGAGGGATAGACATAGGTATATTGAGGGTTGAAAGAAAATTGGTGAAGATTAGGCACTGTTGATGGCATTGGTTGCTGTGGAAGGGCGTTGTGTCATTGATGGCGTTCATATCGGATTGTCATCTTGGTTGAAGGTCTTGTCACTTCGATATTGATTCGAGCTTTAAGCTGCTTTTGTTTCCTGCTGTAATCCCCCTTTGGCAGGACGTCGAGGTTTCGTTCAATGTAATATTGTATTTTCACATGCACACTAGACAAAGACTAGAAGATACTTGGTAGTATCTCACCTTCTTTAGCAGAGCAGCATGTACTGTAGTGAGATCGTTGAAGGCGACTTTTGCCCCACGAACGCACATAGATAGCTTCTTCAATAACAGAATGATTTATCCGACCTTGATCTAGAATAGTTCCCACTGACTTCCTGACCAGACCCAGAATGGTATCCTACACATGATGTTCATCCTTTTCTTTCAATGAGGTCGAAGCTCGTACAAAGAGAGGTCATCGGGCATATCTTTGACTTGTTATGTAATATTGAAAGCCATCATGTTATCAATAACGCTTTTATAGTCTCGATATCTGTCAGATCTCTATATCGCCATAACACAGGGATGATATCTTGAACTTCTGGTACAAAGACATGATAGTCTTTAATTTTGTGAGGCTGGCTGTTTAGGCCATGTATATTCCACCTTCATCATTGTCAATGTGTGTATAATTTGGTCCTGCGAAGATATGAAAGGAGATTCTCGTGTCGTCTAATAGTGGTGGAGAAGGAGTCACCCGAGACTAAGCATTTGTGTCTACCGAATTTTAGAGAAAGGTTTTCTAGCGACTTCCTTCATGGAGCTACTGAAAGGTCGGAGAGACTGTCAGGAAGGCCTTTGATAGAAGCAATGAAGGACGATTGACTTACGGTTCGTCTGAGGTGCTCTGGCAGTGGAATATCTAATTATCGTGGTGCGTTCTACGCAATAGTGGATCAGCTGGATATCTCTGCTGTTGTACTTGCCAGGCCTATCACCACTACCACGTGAGTTTCACCGTTCTCGCTTTCCCTTGGTTCGTTCGCCATGGCTGGTCTAGTTTCTTTACCGCTAAAATTGTCGAATCGGAGGGTACGAGAAGCTGCTCTGCCTTAGTATGCTTTGTTCGATATATATCCGTTGTAGCTCCAGGATATTAGAGCCTCGTTTTCGGTGTAATCGGTACATAGTAGGTGGATCAATCATGGGAAGACTAACGACGACCCACCGTCCAAATAGCACCTCTGATATCTAAGAGTCAGACTCCACTGTTCCGATGTACAATGCCGCATTGTAGCGACGCCTATTACAAATGAGAATATACTCAAAAGATTAGTTCATGGTTATTCACAAGACGAAGCTTATTATATTATAGGCGACATATATTGGAGAAAGTCATCATACACAATCTTACAAGTCAGTTTACACTTAACAAGACGCGTGTAGATTCCACCTCAACTTTTCTTCTTAGCAAATCTGTATGCTCAGCTAATATAACCCCTTAAGCCTTGACTATATCCTTCTACCCCAACGTTTCAATAGCTCGGTGGCTGAAAGGGGTATGACACTGTCAATTGTTGATTGCACAGTTACGTGCGTAGAGAAAGCCTAGATTTGATGCATATCACGGATCTTGAAAGAGATGAACAATGACTTCATCTGGTATCACAACATTTAAGAATGTCACATTAGCTCAGGACACAACTATAAGGGGGAAAAGTGGCTTGAATCTACCTATATTGTCCTAATAGGATCATAATCTCGTGTCCACTGTCATACTTTAGAAGAATCATAAAGTTTTTTAAGGCGCTTTGGAAGAATATCCTTAGCATCAACTAGAATCTTTTGAGATTATCTTTCCTGAGATTCTGTGGAAGCAGATCACATATCCACCCAGATTCTCCTTTGTCTTGCTCGTCCGTCGCCTCAAAAAATTCCATCCGGTGCTTATATGTTTACTTCGAGCTTTGGATCTTTAAGTATATCAAGACTTATGGCTGCTTTTTTTGGCTCCAAGGCCATAATGTCTAAGTTGCTGGTGATACGTAGTCCCAACTATTTAAGTGTAACTCTTTGGAACTATGATTAGAGAGGACCGGTAGCTAAGGAGCTGTTTGCGAGGAATAATGTGAAAACCATGGTTAAATACAGTCCGATAGACAGGAACACAGCGACCCCTTAAGACTGTTCGGCAAAACACTCAAGTTCACGGGTTATCTCATGCCGGCTTCCGTAACCCACACTTCTCAATATAGATCCTACTTTCCTGTCTTACAAACACTATCCCCAAACTCACCCTCCTCCAATCATTGCATTTATCTATCTCAAGTTCTAACATCACGGCCATTTTTCTATCAAGATGAAAAGAACTACACGTGCATCAAGCCGTCGCGCACAGTCATCGGCTGCCTCTAGAAGCGATTCGATCAAAGCTGAACAGAATTCTCCTGTTCTCCCCTCGATCGCGGAAAACTCACAGCTCAACAATGATATTGATAACGATCGCACCAATACAGTCTCAAACTCACAATCTGTTATCTATAAGGAAGCAGCTTGCAAGAACTGGGCTCTGACACACGCCGAACTGCATGAAATGTACTCGGGCATCTTCGCTCCGTACAAAGACGGAAAGGTCCACCAAGAGTATGGTGAATGGCCAGAGGACTTCTGTAAAGCCATCTCTGTTCTATCACGCTGTATCAACAATCCAGCCGTCGCAAAAGCTGGCATTGTCAAACATGTTCTAGCCAAGGCACAGAGTGATGGTTCATTACCTTCCGAAAAGCATCAAGAAGGGGTTTATCTCGGCATACAAGCAGTTCACGTGGACAAAGCTCTGTCCGACTTCAAGAATCTTCCGACTCTTCACGAAAGCCTCAAACGGCATAACAGTACTATCAAAAGTCAAAGAGATGGTAAAAGACCTCAAGGCAGCGGCGTGACCAGACCTCTAGGACACATGATGCAATCATCGACCGTATCGTCCCCTCGAAATTTCACAGGCAACGATTCTTCCCAACCCGAAATCCAGTATATAGATTCTGGGTACCCAATACGGCAAGTCAGCTTCAGTCCCCCACGTAGCAATGTACAAGAAGCACCGCTCCCTCTTCACGGCATCGAAGCTCCGAGAAACAATAAAAATAGGAGTAACAACAACAACAACGACGACAGTTGGAATGGAGCGAGAAATACGATTGACAATCATAATACCTTCAATGCTCCAAGTGGAGCTCACAATGAATCCAATCGGGGATCAGTCCACGAAGAGCAGCATACCAACACTGGGCCTGACATCGGCTTTGGAGAGGACGCTGGCCCAGCCCCTCAGGGGTTTGGCATCGACCCCCCGATGGGAGAGACTGATCAGAGCCGCACAACCTTGACAGAGCTGATGGCGCTTTACCCAGAGTATGTAATTCCATACCTGAGTCTGGCACCGGACATGACCTTAGAAGAGATAAAGTCGAAGCGCCGGTTGATTGGACAGATGCGAGCGTTACGCATCGCCGCCCAAAGACACGAGGAGGAGAAGTTCGCGACCAGCGAGCTCTTCCTTAGTGAGCTGGAAAGAAAGAGAAAAGCAGATGACATGTCTACTTGAGCCCGGCAACGGTACATGATGATGGCACTATCAAAAATGTATACTAGAAGCTATCTTAGCTATGCTAATGACTGTCCTTGGTCCCTATGTTTAGGGGAAGCAATTGTTGAATAACCTTCTCGGTGTTACTAGATTCTACGTGATGAATAACGATTCATAGTATGTGCCTCGCTAATGAATTCTTTCTTAATATATGCAGTAGACACTCTTTTAATTCTCGTCATTTCAACGAGGGTTATATTACTTTAGATCTAGACGTAATAGTAGTTTTAATATTCTTATAGTCCTTATAATCTGTATAAGTAGTTACTAGACTTAATCGATATAGGTCATACATAGCTAGGTTTAATTATCTTATACTACGACGGTAGACTTGAGTTAACCGAAATTTAAAGTAGTCTACTATTAGAAAGCGCTATGTTACTACTTATCTATTTACTTAAGAGAATATTCTATTAATCTTATCCATCTAAAATTCTACTATCTATATAAGATAGAAAGCAACTCTTAAGCTTATATATAATTTACTTATACTATCTATATAACCAGACATAAGATCTACTTATATATTAAATATATATTAGTAATATCTATATAAAGTATAGAGAGAATAGTCTAGCTAAATATATAAATATATAACTATCTATAATATCTATAGAGAAAATACTCTAGCTAGATATATAAGATTATTACTATCTATATAGATTAAAGAGAAATATTAAAGTTAGATAGTTTAGAATAGCTTCTTCTATTATAATATTTAGTAGTTATATAGAAAAGAAAGATCTTAAGTTCTATTATCTATCTAAATTAGAAGAGAAATATTAAGTTAGATATACTAGAGTAGTATCTATAATTAGAATAATTAGTAATTCTATCTAAAGAAATATACTTAGATTCTATTCTCTATAGAAATGATAGAGAAATTACTTATATTAATTATATTAATATAGTATATCTAATTATAGTAATTAGTAAATCTATTTAGTAAGAAATACTAGAAGTTTACTATCTATCTAGACTATAAAGAAAATATATACGTTAGATCTACTAGAGTAGCTTCTTTAGTTATATCCTTTACTAGTTCTATCTAGTAGATAATACTTAGAATATGTTATCTATGTAAGCTTTAGAGAGATTAGTACCGTTAGATATAATATAATAGTATCTCTAATTATAGTTAGTAGTAAGTCTATCGAAAGAGAAGTACTAGGACGTTACTATCTATATAAGTTAAAGAGAAAATACATAAGTTATATATATTAAAAGACTGCCATTAATGGTAATTCTTAGTGACTCTACCTAGTAAAGAACGCTTGCATCTCGCTATCCTTATGAATCATGGAGAGATCCTTGAACTTAGATATATAAGAGTAGCCCAATTAATCGTAGTCTTTACTGACTCTGCCTGGTAAGAAGTGTTGGAATTTCTCTATCCATCTAAACTATCGAAGGATTCACTTTAGTCACACACATCGGAAACTTAGTCCAAGGTGTTGTTCAGGCAGCTAAACGTGTCCAAGAAGAGTGTTTTGCTTGTAGAGAGCATCATTTCAACTGATTGTCTTGATCCGGAAGATCAGCTCTTACAATACCACCACAACAAGTCTCGAATTCCCCGGCTCCTACACAACACACATCACACAGCTTCCGTAGGATCTGATCCCTCTCTCACACATGCAAACAGGCATATCTATGCACAGCCTGCCAACCCATAAAAAAACGGTCTGCCCAGAGCAATAACAAGACTAGAGCCAGCCAAGCATAACCCAACAACAAGACAAGACAAGAAAATTGTCTCTGAAAACGCGTGAGATTCACAAATGGAAGACACAGACTCACAGAACGGCAGGCACAGACAGGCAGAGACACAAATACACCGACAACGACTCGGTATGAGATCGAAACGGCATAGAGAGAGACATCGATAGTGTAATGAAGCCCAAGAAGAAAAGTAAAAAGAGCTATAGGTATTTAAGTAGTCAAAGTAGTAGGTAGGTAGTTAGGTAGTAGGGTTTGTGTCTCTCTCCTGCGAGTGTGCTCTAGTAGTAGCCACACAAATCCGATCACCAAATCCGGGCAAAATTAATCTCAATCTGTACAATCCCAACCCACCAACCAATGATAGAATATTCCAGCCAGATGGAAGGCCCACGCTCTTGACGCATAGTTCTCTTTCAAACCATCCCTTCACTATTCATCACTCCTCACGCCCCCCGCATGCACCGCAAACCTCAAAGATCTATCAAGCTCCCGCCTTGCTGCTGCTGACCCTGCTGCCTCCCAAACGGATTGTTCCCACCAAAACCACCAGCCGGCCCGGTCTGCGCCGGCATCAGCCTATTTTGCGTGAAACCCGTTTGTTGGGGCATGCCTGTGAACTGCGAGTTGAGGAACGGATTGTTGCCCGTCTGGTTCGCGTTCAAGCGGTTCAGGCCAGCTCCAGCCGAATTGACAAACGTGCCCGGTGCCGTGTGTTGTGCGGGAATACGAAGGTTTCCTGTATTGCCGAACGTGTCCTGGCCGTCACCCGACGCCAGCAGTGCGTTGAGTTGAGCGTGATGCGGGTCTTGAGGTTGAGCTTGTTTCTGTGGCTGTGCTTGCTGTGGTGTGCCAAAAGACAGGGGTGGATTGAAGTTTTGATTGTTGAATTGTGTTTGTGTCTTTTGCTCTTGGATCTCCTGGAGGGAACCCAGTGTCGGAATGTGCTGTTGCTGCTGTTGCTGCGGCTTACCGAACGATGGTGCGAATGGATTATTGGATCCGGTGGGCTGCGGCTTCATGGAATCTTGCTGTTGCTGGTTTGATGACCAGGGGTTATGGCTGCCAGCTTGCAGCGTGCTTTGCTGCTCTTGTGGCTGTTGTGGTTGTTCCTGTTGCTGTTGCTGTCCGAAAGAACCTTGTTGGCCAAAACCACCCCCATTCATCTGTTGTCCGTACGGATTATTCATGTTGAAGGATGTCTGTTGAGGCTGCATGAAGTTCTGCTGAGCAAACTGGTCAAAGCCTGTCTGTTGGGGTTGTTGCGACTGCTGGTACCCATAACCAAAACCGTTCTGAAAGCCTGTTTGTTGGCCTTGCATTCCGGTCGGCTGGGAATAGGCGTTGTTAAGAAATCCAGTGTTCTGTGACTGCTGCTGATCTACTGGATTTCCATACCAATCTACGGCTCCCTGCTGCTGGTACCCCTGATTAAACCCGGTAGGTTGCGACGCAGCAGGTTGACTCGGGGTATCATCAAAGAGTGAGTTTGCGTTCGACTCCTCCAGCTCTCGTCGCCGAAGCTCTTCCTCTTCTTTACTGAGTTTGATTGCTTTTGCAAGATCGTCGTCGTCATCGGCCGCGCCAGCGTTTCTTTCACGCCTTTTCCGGTCTTCCTCTGCCTCGTTCTTACTGGCTTCTATAGCGAGCTTGTACTCGAGATCCTCTTCGTCAGTCCGTCTGGGCCTCTCGCGTCGCTTCGGCGGCTCGTGATGATGACTTCCAGGAGGGCCATACTCATCCAATCCGGTCACCCGCGACTTCCAAGTCTTTCGGTCCGCTCTTTCCGTGCGCAATCGTTCTTCATCGAGGATAAGTGATGTGAGCTCTTTCGCCGAGTGTCTGACTAAAGAGTGAATTAGCACGCTTCCCAAGCTTCTTAGGAGGCAGACCTACCATTGGCACCGACGTCGCGACCCTCTTCATCGATGTAGATGAACTCACGCAGCGTTTTGATTATATATATGTTTTTGCGAGCCCAGGTCACCACGAGCTCGGAGCCCTCGTGTAGACAATAGTCGAGTACCTTGAGGGATTTGAGCACATGTCGCCAGTTCTTGCCCTTGTCGTTCAATCTTTTGTCTAGCATGTCCATGATTTGGTAGAAATCGGTGTTGCTATAACGGTATCAGCTGGGAGGTTAGTCTTTCTACTTGCAAGAGATACAAACCTATTGAAGGTCATCGAGGCAATTTCGGCCATGTCAGAACCCGGAGGGCCCCACGGATCGTTGCTTGTAGCTGATACCGTCAGTTGGGCTGTCGGCAAGTCGTGAAAGATATTTCATACCATTGCGAACCTTTACTTCTACTGAGGAGTATCCTTTCGTGACATTCTTTATGCTTCTCAAAGCGCCAGACATAGTGCGTAGGTCTGATAGGGCGTCTAGATCCTACTATGCGGTGATGTAAATTATCTGATGGAGGTCTGATCACAGCTCTATGAAGACAAGGCTAAATAGAGGCAGAGAGCCCAGCGAATTCGGATTTAGTCCTTTGGCTAATGATTCGAGCTCCGGATCCGCTCCGTTGTGGCTGGTGAGGCGAGTGTTCTAGCGGACGAAGCGAGTGAGGGTGAAATAGACAGTGATCGCTTCGTGGTAGTCGCAGGTATGCGCAGGAGATCGTGTTACAATGGCGACGGTGAAGGAAGTTGGAAGATGGCAAAGAGGAAATGGTTGGCCGTGTGAAGGCGAATAGAGGAGTCGTAATGGCTTCTGGGCTTTTGGGCGCATGTTGGCGGGATTGCTTGGGACCGACCAAGGACCCATACAGCCTCGCGTCAAACGAGCTAGTCTACTTCGGAGCACGGTCTGCGGCAAGTTTCGATATCACTTGGGCTCCTGTTCACGTGACTCACCGAAGAGACATGGGTTGCGTTGTAACATAAAACCACATAATTAGACATTATAGAGTACATGCGTGTACAGTCACGGCCACTTTCTAACTTTGGGTCTGGCGATAGATCAACGCGTTAACGGAGCAGGTGATGATTACATTTTTGGCCCCAGTCTATCAGAAAACAGAAAAAATTGTCCTTGATTCCCACATCATGCTGTACCTCAGAGCCGAGACGCCTGCTGCCCACCTTGTTGTCCGACGCCAGCACATTAATACAGGCAAGGTAGTAACTGGGGCTCCAGCAGGTGTGACCAACTCCCAGAAAGCAATGGCACGAACACAGCGTGCAAACAAAAAGAGTACCTAGGGAAAACAAAAGAAGCTACATTGGTACAGTTGCAGATGCTAGAATCTGTTATCAATAAAGGAAAACGCGGAGTAGCGCAAGTGCGATCGAAATTCACAATCGTGTGTCTAGGGTATAGCGTAAACCTCTGGACCCAATTACCACCTAATGAAACAGGAACAAAATGGATGGAACTCGTCATATTTACTGAACAGGTGGCGCCCACATATCGTTAGGCATTCGTTGCTGGCGCGGGTCATATTGGTGGTCCGGCTCTGTGCTGTTTGGTCGGCGGATGTTATTGTTGCTGTTATAATACATGTTTTGGTTTTGGGCGTGCGGCTGGTATGCGTGCTCGGGGTAGACATACGACTCTCCGGCACCAGGTGAGGCCATTGATTGATGTCCTGGTGATTGCCATCCCATGGTTCCCATATGGGGACTAGCATTCGCGCTGCCAGCTTGATGATTGTTTGAGGTGGCTGGAGGTTCTAGAATAGGTGGAGGGTTGAAGGCAGTTGGGTGAGAAGTGACTCGAGGTTGGGGCGCCATGCCAGAAGCATAGGACTGTGCTAGAGATGGGGAAGCGCGCGGGCTCTGTTGAGGCATCTCGTTCCTGAGGTGCGGCGGCACATTCATATTACCCATATAGTTGTAGTCGGAGGCTTGCCTATGCATCTGTGGTACCGCAGGCATTCCAGCAGCAGGTGACATGGACATCGGCCTCTCATGAGGCGAAGGCGTTGGCATTGGCGAATGCGTTTCAGAGTAGTCATCGACATCGGAACGTGTTGATCGACTGGGAGCAGACTGGCGAGACGCTAATGCAGCGGCCGTTGCAGCGGCTGCTTCCTCAACAGTGCCGGTGTGGTGGTTTTGATGGCGAGTGAGGGTAGTACGACGGGTGAAAGTTTTTTGGCAATCGGCGTACGGACATTTATAAGGCCGCTTCCCAGAGTGAATTCGTCGATGTCTTGCTAGGGAGCTGGAATCGCTGAAGGGCTGTGAAATAACCGAGTCAGTATTTGAGCCTAGGCCTCAAGTCGCGCACCGCTTACCTTGCCACATCTCTCGCACATGTGAGGCTTCTCGCCAGTGTGGACACGTTGGTGGACAGTCAACGCAGATCGTTGAATAAATTGTTTTCCACAGCCAGGATAGTCACACACATGGGGCCTTACACCGCTGTGAATACGTTCTATTGTTGTGTTAAAATGTGTGCAAGTTCTTGGCGGTGATGATAACTCACCATGACGAGCCAAGTCACTACGTCTCGCGAATCCTTTCCCACAAGTTGAGCAAGAAAAGGCTTTTGGGGGACCTTGGGGGTTTTCAGACCGTCCAGGCGTTTGCCCTTGCGACTCTTGTTGTGCTTGTTGGGCATATCCGTTATCGGGAGGATTTGGTATACCATAGTTGTTGAGCATCGGCATTGAGCTCTGCATGTGTGTGGGAGACGGGTATCGATGAATACCATTCGCCATGTTGCTGGTCATGGGTTGTGGGTAGGACTGCAGCGGCTGCGGTGCCTGGGAAGAATAACGCGAAGAATGATCTGATGGATGTGGTGAAACGCCTCGTTCAGAGTTGTTTTCGGATTTTATCCGCCCGTTGATGTATGGAGCTGGTGCAAATTGCGGCTGTTGCTGGAGCTCGTGCTGCATTGTGTGTTGCATTTCGTAGGACATTTGTCGACCTGCTATGGCGTTCAGTTTAGTGTTCAGTATGGTTCCAAGTTGCATCATCGTATGAGGAGCGGAGTGGTCTTCGCTGGAAGACAGGAGTGGAATATTCGAGGTAAATCTCGGGCTCCAAGAAACCTGAAAAGGAGGATGCGCACCACTAGAGGTATGGGATGTAGACACGAGAGACCCCTCAGGTACTACAACTCGCATATGCGAGCGTAATGTGAAGTGGTAGGCGGGTTGACGTCGCGTGCAGACTCGAACGGTGGTTTGAACGACCGTTGGAGGGTGAAGGGTCCAAACGTCACAGTATAGAGCTGGAAGTGCCGGATCGCTCGAGGGTCAATGCTGAGGAATGTTCCAACTATCAGGGACCCAAGTCAGCAACGGCCGCAAGAGCCCAAAGAATATGTGTTGGTGTTGAGTGGAATAGAGAATGTGAGAGATGAGGAATGTATGTTTCTGCAGGTGCCAGGCGTAGATGCTGACGTCTCTCGCAGCCAGCCAGCAGGCGAAAAGGAGGCGCTTCTGTGAGCTAGAGGCTGACGCGAGAGACAAGAGCGGTCGGAGAAGGACGGAAGGGTAGGGCAAGAGGCGACATACCTTTCTTCGATGGAAATAGTGAAGGGGTCAGAGCAAGAGAGGCCGCGAAGAGAAAGAAACAAAGACACGAGAGAAGTGACGGTGAGTAGAGAGTGACGAAGATTCGACGAGAGAAAGTACGTGGGTACTTTTGTCGGGCACTGCAGAGCGAAGAGTCGCGTTAATGCCAAGCCCGCTAGGCCGAACGTGGAATGATCGGCTAGGAAGGATTCTTCTGTTTTTTTGCTCTCCCCTGCGGGCAAAGCGACGTTGTCAATGAAGCTAGTGGAGTTTGTATTTTAGCTTGAGAGCTGGAATTCCTCGATCCCACACCCAAGATTTCTGTCGTGATTTTATCACTGAATACGCTTTCTACTCAATCTGCTGGCTGATCGCGGCGTATATGTCACTTTGGAGTATGCTGCCTTTTTCCCCGATGGAAACTCTCGATCTGTTTTGTGTCCTGTGTGTCCTGCCAAACTGCTCCAGTCCGGGTTCCTGCGCTTGTCGGAGAATAATATATAGTCTGGCTTCTTTGTGGCTCACCAATTCCTGCACGGTCTAGTGATTCGAGGCACCTTCAGAATTCTCGTGTGACTCTGCAGTTCCGTCTTTGAGCAAGCTCAGGCCAGCCGTTCGTCCTGAAGGGTGTAGCTGTTTCCTCGGACCTGTGTTTTCGGAGATGACTGTCCGTCACGGGCGTTTTCCGATGGTGGTGAAAAAGCGACGATTGCTCACACCTCTTTTTCTTGCTGAAGTTCTTCGTGGTAGCTACGTTTAGTAGGCGCTTTGTATGCGGGAGTTGTTTTTAGAAGACTCAGCCTCCCGGACGGGTCGGAAAAGACTTAGGGCTGAAAGCTAATCAACACAGTGAGCGCCAGACAAGACGGCTACGTGCAGGGTCGTAGTCTTCTATAAGACGACTTACATTTATGCGATGCCAGTTCCCCGGCTGGCACAGTCGACTTTTGAGTAGTCAATTTCAATGGGCGTAAGGGATGGCTGATGCCCGACTGCACACAAACGATATATGGCTGCGTAGTTGTGTACACAAAGGTTACCCAGGAAGTTGGAGATGGCGAAGCTGGCAGATATGGCAAAGATCCACGCTCAGTCGTCAGCGTGTCCAAGGCAGAAGATGTTGGTACGTGTAACAACGAGAAGTCACAGCGCAAGCCAGGGTGGCAGAGGCTTTCGTTAAGTAGATCACAGGCGGAGAGGACAGTCAAGATGAGATTGCAGCATCATGGTGGCTGATGGCGGCTAGAAACAATGGCTCTACACTATGGGCAAGCCATCCTTGCAGCCGTTTTAGAGAGTGCCGTCGCGACGAGAAAAGGCTTACCAGGGAGGGGGGGGCAAGGGGGTTTCTGTCTGTGCTGAAGCACTCCTGCGCCCATAGCAATCGTCTTTCACACAACACACATATATATACACACCTGGCGAATGAACACCGATGGAAGGAGCCGGCTGACCAAGACTGCTCAAGGCCGTATGCGCGCTGCAGTATCGCTGTCCCGTCCAGGTCTCCAGCATATTAATCAACACGTAATGAGAGGCTGGACTATCCACATTGGCCATAGTTGAGATGCACCTCCTTCGCGCGGCGCTGCAGGAGGATGGGGTAGGAGGTAGGTACGTGGGTACCTAGATAGGTATACCCAAGCAAGAAGAGCCCTTGGGGGAATTGCTATGACCACGTTTAGAAGCGCGCTAGAAGGATGCAGGAAGGTTTCTAAAATCACGCTGAGACCACCACACCCAGGTTCTAAACTGTGAGTATGTACTACAGTCCTCCAATAGGTCCCGTCGTCGCAGACCAACAGACCCTTTGACACTGGCATCATCATGGGCGTGCGATACGCTTGGGCATGGCATGTATCTACTACAAAGATAGTAAACAACCTACTAACACTTGTCCGCGTCGTACTATGTATAGTGTACACCGCTCACTCTCTTCTCACCTGATGCAGTGCGGTAAATACATTTTACCTCAATCTATTCGGCAGTACACTCGAGAGGACACCATCCAGCTACGATTCGCTATTCGCTGTCACTCGGAGACACTCGGCAGCGCGCAAATCACTGCCTTCCGTGTGGATGGCATGGGAGATAAAACTTTTGCCCATGTTGCTACTTGCATGTAGACGCACCAGTCTGGAGGCTCACAGGTTTTGTGAGCAATAGACAGTTGAGACTGTCGACAGAGTGTGCCGAAACGTCGTCCATGTCATGTCACCAGTGGCAGCATGAACCGGACCGGCGCCGGCAGAGAAGCATGTCCCCACTCCACCCATATTACACTTTTGTTTGAGATTTCTCTGGGAGACGCCACGCTAGGGTTTCGGCAAGGGGCCCGGCCTGATCATTTGTCGCTGGGCCTCGCGAGTCCGTGCCCGGGGAGGAAACAAATGGATGTCATTTAAGTTAATCGGCATAACTGTCATGACATCAATCCAGATCGGGATGCCCACCATCCTGCTTCTACGTGGTACGTATAGAATTGATCATATCACTTGATGCCACTAGACGCCCTAATTGCTTGCCCCTTACCGCGGCTGACGCTCGGACTCTTGGGCGCCGGCTTGTTATTTTTAGATTTTCCAGATATCAAAAGTTTATTTGTCGAGTTTGATAGAGACCTCGAGGCTACCGGGCAAATAGAGAAATAATAGGCACGGGTTGAAGACTCACTAAACCGAATGGCGAGTCTAATATATTATGTCGGGATGCAGAACTTCTGGAAAACGCAGATCGCCTTGGGCACTCGCCATGCATGCGGTAAGCGACCCGTAGATCGATGTATAAACACAACACGACACGACACACAACAGGACTCTCCACGTAGCCGCATCGACTGGATTGCAACTGCACCTTCTTGGAACCAACAGCCAAGTATTATCATTTCAGTAACGCTAGAAAGATCTATACGTAGCGCCAGAGATTGGCACAAGACTGGCGAAGATGGTCATTTCGCGGGAGCTTAGGTGGCTCATCTCCGTGCTTGCTATTTGACAGGCGCTCTGAACGGTGGAAGTTTAATTCCAGATACGACGCATATCGACTACGCGCGTGACTCGGTAGTATGCAGCCTCAATTCTCCTTCCTTTGATTCCCTTCCGACTGCTCATATGCAGATGAATCGGAGGCAGCAAGCCGTGGACACAAACATGAAGTCATGATCATCATAGCTTTGGTGATTGCTTTCCCACTCACGTTCGTGGAGGCAGGCCTAAGCTCAGTATGTTTTGTTGGGGGGGGGGGGAGTGAGAGCTTGGAGTTGTATCAAGCTGTGGTATCAGCGCTGGCGGTCTTCCACTGGACACAAGAGCCAGGAGCCAGGAGCCGTTGCCAGTGCCGCTTGGGCTATGTGGCAGGTTCACATTGCAGCACATGCAGCAGGCAGACACTTGCTGTGTATGTGGTTGATATGCGTTGCACGTTACATACAAATGCAAGTCACATACAGCCTACCACTCCCAGTACTGAACAACTGAATGAGACGTATCAGGATAATACAGAAGTTGACACATACTCAAGGATACCATACCGTATACGAGACGCCTGCATGTTGCATATTACACATACGACCGATGGACAAACACGGGGCTGGGGCGTCCAGGGGGCGCAATTTCTGAAATGCCGCGACAATCGGGCCGTGCGCAACCAACGAAGTCTTCTAGAAGGTTTCCCTTTTGGGTGTCGTGAAACCATGGGCTTTCGGCGATCCACGCGCCCAAACTTAATTTTCTAGAAGGCTTCCATCTCCGGCTCTGGCTCCTCCTTGTGACTTTTCATGCCAGGTAGGAGCGAGATGCCTGGCGCGAGTTGCAGCAGGCTAGCAAGTCTGTTGAGTGGACGCGGAGATGAGTGACTGAGTGGACGAGTGGACTTGGTTGGGACCTGCGGCACTGGCGCCGCGTATACACCACACGACTCGCCTCTAAATACTAGCAAACTCCGTCAATTACACCCTAAGAATAGTAACACTGTTGTACCGTAGCCCACGTTTTGTACTATGAATACCTTTGCTTTGCATTCTGGAGCTAGAACCAGAGCCAGAGCCTTGCCGGCAAGCCGTATACCAAAACGCCGTCCCAGAAACCGCCTGGGTGGGCGTTGAACCGCGTCTCTGCTCTGCTCTGCTCTGTTCTTCCCACGGTTTATGCCGCAGCAGTAGCCACAGTCTTACCTTGAAAGTATCGGAGTGTTTTCCGACTTTGCCCCAGATATCATGATCATCGTCAAGATGATATTTGTTAAGCCAGTCGATGCATCAATAACCTCGTTGATTCTGTCAAGTCATGTGGTTCGGCTTCACGCGCTCAGTTTCTCGTCCTGCCTACACCAACTTGCCTTTCGACACAACGTCTCCAGTATGATCATAACCATCATCTTGCGCCGACCACCGACCAGTCCTTTAATCTGTGCTTCTATTTTCATGTCTGTGAGCAGACCTAAATCCGGGGAGTCTATCTAGCCACACTGCTCCCAGAACACGGGCCATTAAGGAACTGCCGCCAGCGCTGAGCTGAGGCGCATCGATGCGAACAGCACCTCATCGGCGACAGCACATTGGCTCATGGCGCCAACAAGAAAGGCCTGTCATCGCTGCAGAACAAGTTCCACTGTGCAGCCTGTACGGAGTGATCATCGCAAGGTACATGCGTGCTAAATCCCTCACCATTTGTGTGAGATTTTTCACCTCGCTGCTGGGCAGACCTGGACAGCGGTTGTTGGCTCCTGTTCCACATTTTCCCAGTATGGCGCATGACGTTTGTAATACAGTCGTTCCAGACATCGCTTGGGCTGTTGTGTGCTGCTGTCGTGTGCTGCTGTTGTCCTGGGTCTGTGTTCGATGGATCGGGACCGTCCTGCGTGGTGGCTGCTTACCGGCGCTCCCGCTACCACCGTGGTGTTGACCATCGCCGGCAGAACAGCAAGGACCGCCAGGACCAGCCAGGATGGCTATTAGAACGTCAAACTCATTGTCATCAACATCGTCTTCTTAATAGCAACTGCTATCCTACCCGGCCACGCCAGGATGATGCCAGGATATACGGCCCGAGCAGTTCGGCTAGATAGTGAGTTTCCAGAGCGCACGACTTCGGCCCTTTATATTTCTATTTGAGGCTGATATAGGTAATCGGATGATATCCATAGTCACGGCTACCTATACTATGGAGTAATAGCACCGACTAGAGGACGAGAACATTCCCCGCGAATCACGGCAGTTTCACGTCTTCCTTCTTCACTTCTACATATCTGGCCTCTGTGAAAGTTGCGCGGAGAGGCATAATTTGACGAGCCATCCTTTGGAGAGGCATCATGTAACCAGGGTCCTTCATTCACGCCTTCTCGCTTTCCCCGTTTCCATCTTTTGTTGTTAATTTCGTGTGGAGAGCTCTAATGTGTCCTGCACGTCATGCGTACATCCCGGGCTCGTTCACAACGCCGCATTTTTCTTGTGGGCACGTACGCTGGTACTAATCTATAAATACCACAACTTCCTCCCACTGGCGACATACTTTCTTCCGTCAATACCAACTCTACTTGATTCAGAAACAGGATGTTGGCTGCATCGACATGCAAAGGGTACGGATTCTGAGCTCCGCGTCGTCAGAATGGCCATCGTGTTCCATGTCCTCTGCGTTCCGTCGCAAGGCGTTGTATATAATGATGATCAGCAGCAGCAACAACCATGTATAGAGATGAGCGGCATTGTCGAAACGGCTTACCTCTGCTAATCGTGTACAAGCACACGGATGTGGTTGCAGCTGGCCATGCACTATGCACGCCTTAAAAAGGGGGACTCATCTGGTGAATCACGCCACTGGCACGCCCTTCTCCAAAATACATCCTCCTAACCACACATACTTGCTTTCGCGCAAATACGTACATCTAGTTCTGGCGAACGGGCCGATTGAAAATCCCCATGAAAGCACCCTTCCCACTTATCCCACTACGCAACACGCTCCTGTCTATCTAACCCTTCAATCCTTAAAGCATCTTCGCCTCCAGACTGTTCGCCTCTCACGTTAGTCCCAGTAGCAGACTCAGTAGCAATACTTACCACCAGCACTCCAGGCCTTTCAACATAACATAGCATTCGATAGGCACTACACTTCACCAACCATCACGCGGAATGCCAGAGGTCTGGTTCAATTAGAGCAGATAACAGAGCAGACTCAACGATAAAGTACGAACATGAGCTCTAAATAAATATCACAGCACACCCTCCGTCAATCTTATCAAATCATTTATGTCCCAATCGTAGTCTCATATCCCAAACCCTGTCTACCTCCAGTTGAATTAAATCCCTTTAATATCGTTCATTTCGTTATTACCGGCCTCCACGAAACGTGATGTTAATTTATACGTATCTATTTTTGAATCCTTATCGATATATTTGCCCTCGAAGTACGTATCCATGTCCCTTCAAGCACTCATACCTGGCACATAGGCTTCACACACACATATATATTTGAAATAGTAATGTATATATAGGGACACCAGACACGCCATCACAGATGAGTAATTTGGATTTCTGTCGTGAGCACATACATAGTCTGCCAAAATGAGGTTGAATTAAGAGAAAGTAACATTTCCACCTTCCCAAACAACCATACTGTATCGCCATGTACCATCTCACATCCCACCCCAAACTCCCTATCTCCTCACCCCAATCTCAAAGTACAGATCCAGCATCAATCGCCACGGTCTTATCCTTCTCTAGCAACTGACCTCAACAAGGACTTCTGTTTTATGCATGTTTGATACCGCACAGATTTATTTTATAGTTGTATATATCCATGTGTATATCACAACGTTTTGGCCCTTCTCGCCGCTCCAAGCATATGCCCAGTGTCATCCCCGCATCATGTTATACCGCTTTATCATCATGGCGTGCACGCGTGTGTGTTGATAAGTAATGCTTCGTTTGGATACATGCTGGTGGTGGGGAGGGGCATATGATTGATGTGCTTGGTGCGTTGGCTGCGAAGGGTACACTTTGCGGTGGGTACTTAATATAGGTTTCATGTCCTTTTCCGGAATTTTCGAAAAGTTCATTTGGCTTACCATAGTATACTGGCTACGGTATTGTCCTGGGTTAAACGTCGGGTAGACTTGTATGTATACAGGGACTCATTCACACGACATGACGAACAAACGATTATGTGAAATTCATGCCGGGATACGCCAGTGTAGTATAGTAACAACGTCGTTTTCTTGGGCTCGTCTCCTTCTCCTTTCTTTCTTTCTTTCTTTCTTTCTTTCTTTCTTTCTTTCTTTCTTTCTTTCTTTCTTTCTTTCTTTCTTTCTTTCTTTCTTTCTTTCTTTCTTTCT